TTTTCACCTTCTTAAAAGTAAACCTTGATTAAATCGCTAATCCGTGAACCTATTAGCTGCGCCACAATTTTGTAGAAGAAATTAAATTAGTGTAAATAAATCAGAATTTACTACAGACAGCACGGTGGACTGTAATGATAAAATTTTATTTTACTACCATTATTAATTATTAATTTTATTAATTATATTAATCTTATCAATTCCATTCCATTAATCTTATTAATTATATTAATTTTGAAATTTTAAATAATAATTAGTAATTAATTATTAAATAATAAATTGTTATTTTATTCTTAATTTATTGTTATTAGTTTTATTAATTTATTAATTTCATTAAATTTATTGTCATTTTATTACAAATTAAGCGCAAAAATTTCGGAAAATTTATGGATAATTCGCTTCATAATTCTGAGTTAAGAATGCTTAAAATTGCAGTGATGTCTAAACAGCGCTATTGACCATTTACTTTCTAGAAATACTCCAATATTTTTTTAATTTTTCGCATTTTTGCAGCTTTTTTTTCGTTAAAATATTTCTTTTTTAGCACGATATTTTCATTCTGTAGAAATCATCCATAAATTAAGTAAATAAATGAAAAAAGCTCAAAAGCTCATCAATTTTTGTAAAAGATATTTAAAATTTTAATTTTTACAAGTGTTAAGAAAGAAAATCGAGTAAACGAAAAAAATAAAAAACTCAACAAAAATAATTGAAATATACGCAGTGATTACCAGCCAGTGATTAGGCAACATTTATCAGTGATTAAATAGTATTGCTACAATTTTATAGATAAATTTTTTCAAAAAAAAAACAAACCATTTAAATAATGAAATGAACTGATAATCGTTTCTCGTGATGCAATTTGCAAGCGCATAAGAATACAATCGAAACTGTTAAGTAAAACTGATAAATTTACTGGGAATAAATAATGCTGAAATATAAAATATAATAAATTCAACTGTTCTTGTAATATAAATAAATAAATAATAAATGAATAATAACAATAACTATCGCAGTTTATTTTTATAAATATTTTTAGAGATAAATAGCAGAGTTAAATTCAAATGGAATAAATTTCCACCAATTTTTGTATCGAAAAATTCCTTATATCAAAAAGAACTCAGCAATAATAAAACTAATAAAATAATAAAAATTTATATGGAAAGAAGAAAAAAATCATTATCAAATAATTCGCAAAAATTAACGGCTTGCGCAACGGTAGAATTGTCTTTAAATTATGGCATGTCCCTTAACATTTCCTAAAGACCATTGTATTTCCTTAAGACTCCTAAGTACCTTAAAATTAAACTATTTACAAGCCATATCTTTATGATTCTCCTTATATATCCCTTAAATTCCCGCTATATTCTTTCAATTCCATCTGCTAACGTAATTATAGTTTTTTTTTTTTTTTTATTTTTACATGAATACGCAAATGCCGGCGAAGTTTGATGAAAACGTAAAGTGAGGGTTAATGGCACTTGGAACTGTTTACGACTATTGAGACAATGCTTTTAAAAAGTATTTTTATAGACGGTACTACTGATTTTAAAAAACTTTGCAATAACTGCACAGGAAAGCCAACAAGGCGAGTGAAATTAGTATAACCCAATGGAATTTAAAAAATTTACTGCTTCGGCAAAATTAATATTATTTAAAAAATTAATATTAATAAAAAAAATGAATATGCGAAATTATAAAAAAGAGGATTAAATTGATTCTTATATAATAGATTCTGAAAAAACAACTGTTAAGGTTAACGATTGTTAAGATAATATAACTTATGATAGCTAAAAGTAATAATTTTAACTTTATCTAAACATGAAATTTTTTGATAAAATTTTTTTTACTGCAGCCGTTTAACTTATTTTTATTTTTATGAAATTTCATCTTATTAAATTTTATATAGTAATCTTCAAAATTTCTTTCCTTTTAAATTTACCATTAAAATTTCTTAAAATTCTCCTCTAAAATTTCTTCTTTAACAAATTTGCTTTAACCAACATTAACATCAAAAAAGAATTATCCTATGGATGGGAAGAATTATCTTCGAAAAGCCTTGGCATACCTCTCCATATTTCCTCAAAATCTTGTATTTTTCGAACACTCCTTTGAACCGTTGCCGAAATCTTATAATTCTCCATTAAAACTTCCGAATCCTCGCTATATTCCTGTGCAATTTTACAATTTTATAACTGCGATTGTGGCAAAAGTATACTATAATATTTGCGAAAGCATTAAGAGAAGGAAGGAATAAAAGATATGAAAAAGGCTTAAAATAACGAATGACAAAGGAGTGATGTGGGAGATTGAAGTGCAGTACTAAAAAAAAGATTGATTTGGCCTGAAGATTTTCTCACAAAATAAAACAAGTTTTGCAGCATAGAGTATCAGAGAGTTTCAAATAAGCGGACAGAGGTGGGGTTCGCGGAAGATTTTTTAGGAGTATTCGAACATTATAGAGTTGTAAGAAAGGATATAAATAGGTTTAGTACAGCAGTCTATTAGGTTACTCCAAGAGAAGTTCGTAAAATATAAGGGAGTTTGAGGAATGCACTATCTGGTTTCAAGAAGACATATAATGCGATATGATAATATTAAAGTATTAAGGAGATTTTGGGGGTAGAAATAGTTATAGACTATCCTGAACTATTAGTAAGGCGACTGCAATGATGGCTCAAGAAAAAATCAAGAAATTAAGGAAGTTTCGTTACTAATAAATGGTACCAAAATAGTATGGCGAGGTTTAATGAAGAATTAGGGAAAGCGGCACAAATGGTGGAGGCAAAAGACTGCAGTAGGGCTTGAATTCGAACTAGCAGTGCACCTTTACCAATTATCAATTATCAAAGATCAGCGAAGGATAAATTAATAAAAAGTGACTGTAAAAGCAATTCATCATACAAAAGATGTGGCTTATTGTAAAGGAATTAAGGGAAAATCATGAAACCCCCTAAAAAAAAAAAATTGGACAACAGGCGATGCATAAAAGGAAAGAGTGTCTCTTGAATGTCTCAGATGGCTCGATGAAGGGGGCCAAAAAGGCCTCGCAGCGGGGAGACAGACGAAGTGGAAGCGCTGACCTCAAAGATTAGCCTTGTGCTTGCGCCATTTGCCGACACGTTGCGCCACTTTCAGTGACTGTGAAAAGCAAAAGATAAATAGAAAACTCAGAGGATTGGAATGAGCGATGAAAAAATACTAAAAATCTACGATAAAATATTATTTTAGCGATTTTCGGAAGCAAAGTTTTGGAAATGAAAAAATCGCCTTTTTCTAAATTTTTACGCTAAAAAAACCGAAAAAAAATGAAATTTTAAATTGGATGAAAATTTGGAGAAAATAAAATTAATAATTAAAACATAAAAATTAACTAATTAGAAAATAATTTACAAAAAAAAGAGAAAATAATTAAAATTGGCAATAATAATTTAATTTTATCACTTTTCGCTTCAATCATTTTAAAACCCACGGAAATAATAAAACTGAAAAAAAAATTTACGTAAAAAAACGCGTCTGCATTTTATGAAAATATAGAAAAATCGGCTGCGGCGCTTAATTTTTATTTTTCCAAATTTTTTTGATTATTGAAAGCGATTTTCGTAAAAATTTCCGAATTTATTGCCATTTTTCATAAAAGATTCGGAAAAATTAAATTTTTTTGCATTAATAATTAGTTGATTCATTATAAAAAATTCAATTTGTTCATAAATTTTAAATATTTTTACCTTTTTTATTTTTTTATAATTTTTTCACAAATTTCCTAATTAAAAATTTGGTTATTTTTTTCAATTTACTTAATTATTTTATTTTTTAACGACAAATTTTTGCTGAAACATTTAAATTCGACTTTTTCGGCGAATTATTTTTTCACATTTATTTGTTTGTTTTCGAATATAAAATTTCCTTCAATTATATACGATTTTGTATTTAAAAATTTACATTTATCATTAAGTTTAGATGAATAAATTTCTCTTTTAAATTATTTGCCAAAAATTTTTATTGTTTTATTACACTTTTATTTCGTGCAAAAAAGCGAAAGCGATTGAAAAATTACTTTCAATAAATCGTCGAAAAATTCGATGAAAAAAAACTTTTTTATTACTTTTTCAAATAATTTCTTTTTTTCTTCATTTGGCTTTCATTTAACTTTCGAGAATTCGTTGAAATTTTTTCTTTTTTTTTCCAGTTAAATTGCTATAAAAATAATTGTTTTAGAATAATCGTTGTGAAGAAGAAAGTGCCATTGTTTTCGAAATTTCCCATCAAATTTCAACTTTCAACTAATTTTTGCAATTTTCTCGGCGAAATTGCTATGATTTTGCCACAATTTTAAAGGTTTTTTAACGGTAAAATAATTAATTAGAAAATAATTAATTTTAACGGTAAAATAAGTCACGGAGGAAGGAAAAAATTCGATATTTAAATTGAATTATAATAAATTATATTTATTATAATTATGCTTATATTTATTTGCTAAATTAATGATTAGTAATATTTAATTAATTTCTCAATATTTGTTTTATGGTGTCATTGCTGTTGATGCGATGCCTTAATGTCTAATCTATGTACGGTTCGATCTTCGTAAAGGTCAGCATTGTGGGCTCATAATATTTATACTGCTGGCATATAAACGTCCGTTTATGAGCAGAATCAGTACTTATTCTATTTATAATCAACATTTATAATATTTTCATATAATTTTAAGTTATATTTCAGCAAACTATTTTTAGGAAAGGAAAGTGGAAAGTCCTTCTCAGATTGAAGTCGATGAACAATGTTTCGACTTTACTTACGTTATGTAGTTTTATTATTGCTACTTATAATATTAATTATTACCATTTTATTTGTAAATGATCCATTGCAATTGTTGGTATCGGAGCAACGAATTATTCGATGTCATACTGATAAGGTTATTTTTTTAATTTACAATTTTTTTTTAAATTTTGATCGCCCATTTTATAAAATTTTGATATCATTCGGAGAGAAATTTAATTTAGCGGGGAATTTACAGTAGAAATTTGACAAGGTCAAGGATATTTTTGATAATTACGTTTATTTATTTATTTTTAAAATTCATCCATTTATGATTTATGAATATGTAAATTTGAATTAAATAATTTAGTACTTTACTATCTATGAGGATTCCTATGAATAAATCATGAAACGGCAAAAAATAGTAATTTCAAGCTAGTTTAAAATAAATAATTAAAAAAAAATCGCACAAAAATGAATGGGAAAAGATTTTCCATGAATTGATTTTCAGGGTTTCATGCATTGCATTGCATGTCAAATACTAATAATATTTTTATTTGAAGGTTTTTAAAGAGATTTAAATAAGCATTTCATCAATAATTTCCTTTTTTTGTCGTCATTTGCTAAATTTGGCATCAGATTTAGCGAGAAATTTTATTTAATTTTATTGAAAAAAAATCAAATTTTATGCCATATTTACAGATAAATAATACGAACAAAATGAAGTATATATCATGCTCAGTTGACGGTGATAAATTATTGAAATGCATTGCTGATAATAACGATATTTATTTTCCTTTTAATAAATTTTTAAAAAGACGTTTCGACTTAAGTGGAAAATATCGAAAAGGTTTTATCTTTCTTTGATTTTTCTCTTTCATGAATTTTTTTAAAAAATTAACTCATAAATGTCAAAATAAGGTTCGAAAAATAATAAAGGAGAACAGGAGTATAATTAATGTTTGAATCAGATCTTTTTAGGTTTTGCTTTGATTTTATTTTCTCGAGTAAACTTAAACTTAAGAGGGTAATTTCTATAACTAATTTAGGTGTGACTGAAAAAGATGATTATTTCGAATGGTGGACGTCTTATTCGAAAGTTCGCTATCCTGAATTCACTCATTATGACCCTAAAGAATCGTTTGGACATTTCGCTTCATATAATGTCGAAACAAGGGATCGAGTCAAATGTATCAACGGTCGTTATGGTTTGCTTTTATCTATTTTTTTATGTTCTTACATTCTTTTATATATATTCTTCTACACTCTATTTATAAAAGGAATTTTGAGAGCGTGAATTTTATGAGTTAGAATATTTAGCATATATTTTATTAGAGACATTGCCTTCATTGCCAAAAATTTCTTGTTTTAACCCTTTTTTTTATTATGTAAATTTAAATTTTACTAAGCAAATAGAGCTATCTGAGTTATGCTTAGCTTTAAACTTAAACGATAAATAATAATAATTATGGAATAAAAATGAGGTGAAGACGGCGACAAATATATTTAAATGAATTTTTTATCAAAAAAAATTTATCATAATTTATTTATGTGTACCGATGTCGACACAATGGTCTACTGTACCATATTTTTATCCCATTCAAATCGCTCAGTTTGCATTACAACATTACAGCAGAAATAAAACAGGTTTATCAAATTGATACTCGTCATTTGCTCATTTTTTACAATTGTTACGGTTTTTTCTTTAAATTTATATATATATATATATATATTAAAAAATTTTGAATGATGTTTGGAAAAAAAATTTTTCAGAAAATCCTCCGTTGATAAAGGAAATAGGCAAAAAAAGAGCTGATTGGATTGTTTCGGATTTGAAGAAAATTTCTCAAGTACGATTTGAATACGATACAGAGACTGCATCAAATATAACAATAATATCAGCACAAAGTAGATCATTTAAATTTTTCTTTGTTCCTTTCAAGATTTTTTTCGAAATTAAATTATTAAAAAGTAATAGCATAATAATTTGCAATTTTTTAGCTGAAGTAAAAATAAATATTGATCAAGGTTCGTATATTATTTCATTTTTTTGGAAAGCAGATGCATTGGCTTCGTTTTCTTTTCTTATAGAAATTATTCAGGTTTATTCTTCTTTCTAAAGTTTCATCTGTAGAAATGGAATTTTGATTTCAAAAATGTGCAGACAATTGATAAATTAAATGAGAAGCATGAAGATATGAGTGCCAGGCAATACAGAGAAATTAAATGCTTTTGGGTTATGCAGACAGCTGAAGAGAATGGTCATATGTTAACGTTCTTTTTTCTAGCTGTAATCTTTTGTTTTCCATCTCCATATTGTCTATAGAAATATAGATAAAATTTTATTTTAATCTCCTTCTCTATTAACCATACTGTTTCACCATTTTTTTAAAAGAGTTTTCACCATTACTGGTTAAACTCGCTCCGCTGGCTTGTCACACTGGATAAATATGTCAGGGAGTCCTTTGACGATAGAAATACGGGTGAGTCGCCAGCATCACCTGGATCACACAATTTCACCATTAAAAAATTTCATTAGTTTTTACCTTTAATTATCGAAAATAGATTATTTTTATTGTGTTATACTCTACAAATCTATATTGAAACAAATAAAAAGTAAGTGATAAGATGACGATCGTTATTTAAGGTCAAATTGATCGTAAAATTGGATTATATCCAGGAAGATGATAAAAGATGCGTTTGGCTTGTTAACAATAAAGATAGCGTAAGTTTTTTTTTTTTAAACTGCCTTTTGTAATCTATTTGAATGATTAATTAATGGCTAATTTTCAGCGATTTCAGCGAATGAAAAAAATTTTTGCAGATTGTATTCGAGCATGCTCTTGGGAAGGAACCACATGAATCTGAATGGAGATTCATTTCTCGAGATTTGTTAGTCGATATTAATCGAGCTTTTTTGGCAACGAATCAACGAAAAATGACTATTTTACATTCTGGTAAGCTTCAGTATTACAGGAATAATTCAAGAATAATTAATAATATGCTAAAATATTGCCGATATGGCCTTAGAGTTCACATTTCTGTTGTTTCTGCTTTAGCTTTATAGATTGAAGACTTCTTCAAACCTTCCTATATATCTCTATGCTTGAAATTATTGATACTAATCATTTTCTTCATTGTTTAAGCCTCTATGTGAGTAATTAAAAATGGGTAAGTAGTTGAAATTACAACAGTTATTTTTAACATAATGGGTGCATATAAATGATCAACGAACATGATTACACTGTATGAATAATCCCTCTGAATCAGTTCAGCTGTTACATATTCATCATTTTCTCAGGAGATATACGAATAATGTCGATTACATTTCGAGGAAGATGTGTAGTTCGAGAAGTGCGGCAAAGTTCATCCGCTCATATGGAGCAATTTCTTACTGCAGCCGATTGGTTTATTAAAAATCAAAATGAGCGGGGCGGTTGGCATGTGCCAGTTGATCGGTAATTTATTTAGAATAATGATATGTTATCAAAAATTTTTCATATAAAATCTCAAATTTTTTTCGCTTATAAATAATTGAAATTGATTTCCAGATGGATCGCTGGAAAACAACTTTTTTTGAAAGCGGGTTGGCACAGCGCAATGGCACAAGGTCATGCACTTAGTGTTTTAACGAGAGCTTATCATGTTACCAAAGATATGAAATATATTAATGCAGCTGCCAAAGCTTTACATCTTTTTAAAATTGTATGTTTAAAAATTTTATGAGAGCATTTTATGTGAATTTTTTAAATTTTTAATTAATAATTTCCTTGAATCTTTTGTTTCGTTTACAATCAAAATTTTATTTTAGTTTAAATATTTTTTTTTTGTTTTTGCTATTCATTTTCTAATTTAACTTTTTATCAATGTAGAACACCCACTTGTTAAATGAATGTTACGAGCATTTGTGATATTTTACCAAGTTTACTTTTAATTCGTTGTCAAATTACGAGTGCAAACTTTACAATTTTTTTTCTAAAAAACTCAACTACTTTAAACATTTTGTTTTTACATACTTTTTATATTTTCATAGGAAGCAGTGGATGGTGGCGTGCGGAACGAACTTTTTGGACATACATGGTTCGAAGAGTATCCAACAGTTCCGGGCACTTTTGTACTTAATGGTTTCTTATATGCCTTGATTGGTCTTTATGACTTTTCCAAATTGTCAAATATGTATTCGAATGATACCAATGAACTTCTTAACGAAGGCTTAAAAAGTTTACGAGCCCTTTTACCACTTTACGATACAGGAAGTGGCTCTATTTATGATTTACGTCATATTAGTTTACAAAGTGCTCCAAATCTTGCGCGTTGGGACTACCATTCTGTACATATTTATTTATTAAAATGGCTGTATAATATTTATAATGAAGATTATTTAAATAAATTTGCTGTTAGATGGACGAATTATGCGATGGGAAATCGTGCGCCTCATAATTAGCTATTTGCATTTATTGTTTATGTTTTTAAGTTTTCCTATTTTAGGAATTTCTTGTAAATATTTATTTCTTTCTATTATTTCAATTTCTAATTCGGCCAATTTCACTAAACTTTTAATTATTAAAAATTCGTTTACTGCGCATTTTGTTGGTTCGAGCTTATACGTTGTTGCATTAATCTGATTTTCAATTTGCGGGTTTGTGATATCTTGTGATTTGACATTTTTTATTTTATTTTTTATTTTAATGGTTATTAATTTTCAATAATTTATTTATAAATTGTAAATTGAAAAAAAATATATATTGAATTCTACCATAATTTTATTTGATTCAAAATTTTATTTAGTTGTGCAAATTGTTTAACGATTGAATGGTTTCATAATAATGAATGAATGAATCGACTTTGTACACTTCGCGTTTACGTGGTCTCTCTTGTCGACTTCAAGAATTTTGTTGTAACATTGGATTAATAATTTATCCGATATTCCCTTCCCTACGTCTTATTTTTAGGATTAGGCCATTGCATTAATTGTACTTTCATTCTCTTCTTTTTCTACAAATGGTTGTTGAAATTGTTGAATGTGATAATATTTAAAATAGTGCCTTAAATATCAATAATATTATTATATTCATTTTGTTACGAATAAATATTTGCAAACTGATCGGTTCGATAATTAGAAAGAATAAAAAAGTAAAGTAATCAAATAATGCAAAATTTATAAGTTAGTTTTTTTTGAAATGGAGAAAGATTGCATTGAAAATTTGAAGGATTTCAGGTCAATGAATGAAATGGTTCTAATAAATCATATGTCGTATAGGGAGCATTAAAGGAGGAATACTATTGTCCTAATAAAACTAATGGAACTTAGGTGGGAAGCAAATTTAATGCTTCAACCGCTGACATGGATGGTACTCCATGTGATGAAAAAATAATCGTAGTGGTTGCCGGAATCGACCAAAATTTAAGAGTGGTGAATATTATGAAAGAAGAAAGAAAAGCAGTAATTGATCAAATGCATCGCATTAAGTCGAACCATTATAAATAATTCAAAAATCCTCCTAAAATGGAGATGAAACTAACATTAATGAAATTTTTCAAGAAATAAAAAAGGCCTATAAAAGAGCAAATCTAATAGTTAAATTTTAATCTTAATTTTTAAGAAATTTAAGAATTTTTAATGAAATTGTGACAAGCGAATTCTAAGCTAATCAATTTCAATTTAAAAATTTAACGAGGTCAGCGTAGCCGAATGAACAACGAATATAAATTGGATGTGTTGAATTTGCCAGCAATAATAAACGGTAGCTGAAGGCGAGATTCGGAGAAGTCTCGCAATTTCATTTTAAATAATTTTACAATTAAAAATTTTTTTAAATGAGTAAATAAAAATAAATAAAATAAAATAATATATAAAATATATATAAAATAAAATAAAAATATATTAATTGATATTAATAATTTATTAATTGATATAATTAAATAAATAAATAATTAAATAAATAATAAGTTAATTTCATTATCGTTGAATTAAAATTAAATTAAATTATAAAATTATCCAAATTATAAAATCAAATGAAAAGTAAATAAATAAAAAAAATGAAAAAATAAAATTGTATGCAAATAATAAATAAATAGAAAAAAAAAGCAAATTTCTAGTAGGCGTTAATAATGAAGAAATCTCAGAAGAGTAAAATTTCTTGGAATAAATTCCATAGAATTATAGGAAATAAGAAATAGGAAGGAATTTTATTCGTACGAAGACTTTAAGACTAACTAACTGACTGACTCTAACTTATCAACGATAAACGAACGAACACATTTTCATTTTTGACAACCAACTGCTTTAGTGTGTGCGATCATTTTTCGACTAAAGCTCGCTTTTCAGCAAACATTTATCAGTTTAAAAATCCTCGTCATTATGCTAAAATATTTTAATATTAAAATATTTTTATTTATTTTACTAAGGTCAGTTTTATTTTATTTTATTTATATGAATAAATTAGAAGAGCGGCGATTCAATAATGGATTTTTTTCAACAATTCAAAAATTTTCGAATTCCGTTTTTTTTTCTTTTTTAAGATTTTTATAAATTCGCTTTGAGTTATTCGAATTTTTTTGCCAACAAAAATATAATTATATTCATTTTCATTCAACAAATTTTATAATTTTTGCAAAAGCAAAAAAATTTTAGCAATTTTATTTTTTATTATTTTCTGCAAAAAACACTTTTTTTTAAAATAATTTATCTTTTGCTTTTTTTTACTCTTCCAAATTACTTTAGTTTTATCAAATTTCTTACACAAATTAAATATTGAGAAATGATAAATTTGTCGACAAAAAAAGGTGTTATTTGCGAGTTAAGTGTAATTTAAAAATTTTTTAAAAAAAATATTCGTAAATTTATAAACGAATACATCTTTATTTTTGATAACCAACTGTTATTATTATTATTATTATTATATTATTATTATTATTATTATTATTATTATTATTATTATTACTATTATTATTATTATTATCGTTATATTATTATTATTATTATTATTATTATTATTATTATTATTATTATTATTATTATTATTATCGTTATCATTGTTATTGTTCATTAATTTTTATTATTTATTATTGTCATTATTATTCTCATCATTATTATTATTTATTAATTATTATTATCATTAATTACTATTTATTTATTTATTCATTAATTATTATTATTACTATTATTACTATTTTCGTTGTAGATAGCACAACTGAGAATCGAGATGTGATCCTTTCGCATTTTATAATTGAAATAGATAGGAGAAGGATAAAGGAATAAAGTTGTTTTTTCTATAAGCATTGAAAATTCACTTTTGATTTATCCGTTTCAAGAGATAGCAAAGACAATAAACTTATCTTTTTTTAAATCAAGCAAAATAAAATAATTCGATTTTTAATCAATTTCAATAAAAGCTAGAATTTTTCAGCGAAAATTTCATTTGAATTGGAAAATTGGAAAATCTTTTTATTCTTAAATTTTCATAAAATTTTTTAGTTTACCAATATTATGGTCGCAGTCAACAAAAATTCGACATTCAAGGCGGATTGGCTTCGAAGGGCAAATCGTATCAAAATTACTTGCTGACTACGACCCGTTCACGCGGCCACCAGTCAGAGGTTGTCCACTCAAATCCTATTTTACCCCATTTATTATTTGTTTTACAGGTACTGCTGAACATTCATCGATTATCGTTATCTTATCAATATTCATCGATCGTATTATATGGCATAATCATCACGCTGTACGTGTATATTTATTTATAATACAATAATGGTGTTGTTCAGAGTAAAATCGCCGGGAACTATGATAAGTCCCTTTAGAATTCCTTAATGCACGAATCTTTGATAAAATTATCACTTTGTCAATTATCACTTGGAGCTGAGAGAAGGATTAATAACATTGATTTAAATCTGTGCATAATAGATGGATTTTTTGAGATTCTTTTTTTTCGATAAATTTGATAAACTGCTCTTAATGTCTTTTCCAATTGAAAGTTATAATGACCAGTGCCATTATGCACAAAATTCTTCAAGCAGAATGGCTTAGTGGGTTGTTGCTCAATTTGGAGCGCCGATACTAAGGTTCCACTTTCCGCAGTAGTGGAGTTGTCCGAAAATTCGAGTAATGATAGCGACTCGCCTATACTTTCACTGCCAAAGGATTCTCTGCTACATTTGTCTGTTGCAACAGGCCAGAGTAGCGAGTCTGATTAGTCATTGTGAGGGCCCTTTAAAAAGAAAAGTAATGGTAGAACTCACTGGAATCTCTGTTCCAGTTTCTTTGGAATCGGATAGCAAAAGCGCATTGCTCTTTTCGTAATCAATGGATGTACTCAATCGAAAGCAGAAATGATGTTTAGAAGAAGAATTATTAGGATTTCTGGTTGAAATTGATTTTATTCAGTGATTAGAGCCCTTCTTTAATTAAAAATATTCGAAAGAGAAATTTGCCCATTTTTGATGCTAAAAATGATAAAATCAAGTGGGATGAAGAAAAAATTACGTGTTTAATGAATGATTTTTAGGATAAACTGGAATGTAAGTGAAGCATAAATGGGGATTTTTAAAATGCTATCGATTTTACACTTAATTCATTGCAAAATTTGGCCAAAACAAAATATAAATTTTGAGAAAATTAGCGAAGAAAAGGGATTTTTAGAGGATTTTAAAAAAAACTTTTTTTAAATATTTTAAAAAGTTCGAATTATTAGGAAGTGAATTTATATTTACGACAACAATGGGAAGATGGACGATTGGTTTACGAAGTGGATTCAAGAGAGGAAATTGATGAGGTTGTTATACCGGCAAATAAACGAATATGGACACCGGACACATATTTCTCAAATGCTGATGATAAGCGCTACAGTGAACGAAGGCGAATTGTCGTTGAGCCGACTGGCTTTATTCGATCTTCTGAAATGTGCGCAAATTTTATTAATTATTAAAATTTTTTAATTATTTAAATATTTTATATGAACGCTTTTATCGGAATTATTTTTATTCTATTTTTAATTTCTACCAAATAATTCTAAATTTTTTTTTAAAATTTATTTTTTTATTAAAATTTATTCATTTTTTTTCAATTCCTTAAGGATTATTTTCATGAAATATTTCATACGATTAATTATAAAAATAATTATAAAAATTATATAATTTGATAAAATTTATCGAAAAAATTATTTTATTTGGCAATTATTTTATATGGCAATGAAATTATAAATAATCAACGAATGTATAAGTTCTATTGAATGCGAATAATATAATTTAATTGCCTCCATTTTTTTCTCTAAATTTTTCTAAAAATTATAAAATTTTTTAGGCGAACCGTAACCGTTCCTTTCGAATATGGCGATAAATTTCCACTAGATAACGCAAGAAAACTAAAATTACGAATTTCTAGTTGTATGTTATTCTATTTTATTTTATTCTCTTCTGTGGTTTTTTGTATTAGTATTTCTGTGGTTTTAAAATTATAAAAAAATTCTAAAAGGTCAAAGGTTAAATAATTTAGACAATTATCCCATCGAAGATATAGTTTATTTATGGGCAAATTCACCACCAGTGATTGTGCCCGTCGAAGTTTCAAGTGAATTACAAGAAGATGAATTTCGATTTCAGTCGGCAGTTGCCGATGATTGCGTTGGAAATTATACAGTTGGTATGAATTTTTAATAAAATAAACAATAAATATATAATAAAAATAAATAAATAAACATTGGAACATGTGTTTTGAAAGAAGCTATAATTTTTCCATAATTTTATTAAAATCCCACAATTTTAAAGAACTCTCCTCGATTCTCTTCAGCATTCACCCATCTTTCATTAGGCTCTCTTCATTGATACTATGGTACCACCTATGAAAAATTCCCCCACAATCCGAATTTCGCTTCCAGTGTTATTCTCACTAAGTGGTGGGAAATGAATGTATGATGCTTGATGCACTCGATTTAACTATGATCGTAGCTAAGTTATTTTCTTTATAAAAAGCTTGTTAAGGTGTTTATTCTTGTATTGATGTTGTTGTGACATTCGGTGGATCCTCGAGCCAAGCATTGATCGGATTATTTCTACCATCAGTCTTTTTGGTACCATTTCTAATTTGAATGAATTAGATTCTTTTAAAATCTTATCGTTTAATATTTTAAATATTTAGCTATGATTTTGCAGATTAAATTAATTTAAAAGTTTTACTGTTTATTTGAAAAATTTGAGTTCTAATATTAAATAAAAAATTGAAAATCTACGATTTTCGACCGACTCGATAAATCTTAAATCATCGAATTTTTAGATTTTTATGTCATGGTTGCATTTTTGGATTCATGGCTCGTGGTCTGTCCCAAGGACAGTTAGTGCTGCTGTACCATTTCTGATTTTTGTCATTTTACTGGTAATTTTTTTTCATTTTATATTTACTTTTATTTATTTACTTTATATTTATACTTACTCTTCCAAAGTGTCTAATGCATTTTTTTGAACGACATACATTTTTGAATTCATGAATTGGTCCTAAATTAATGTCTATTTTCCTTTTTTATGCAACTAATTTTGCATATTTTGATATTATTTACATTATAATATTGTGCTAATATGATGTTCTACAATAATTCTGGAACTAAATAACATTTCCTCAGCATTTCTGATTAGGTTTTAATCGTTAATACGAATAGAAATTTTTCACCAAGGGACCAACTTGATGATAGAGGCACCACCATCGGATAATCTGATCCCCTCTCTATAATAAATAATTAATAGTAATGGCAGTGAAAGAAATCGCTCTTCAGTTGCTGTAATAAATTTCGCTAACGATTTTAGCTTTTGGCTTGCAGATTTTCTATCCACAACCGTATTTGGCAACAAAAGGTATTGGTGCAATACAGACATGGTTAATATTTTGTATTCTCATAACATTTGCTTCATTCGTCGAATATTTCGTTGTTATTTGTGCTGGAATTCGACGGACAATTCGTTATAAGGAAGAACGACAAAACGACGAATCACCGCTAACTGCCGTCAATCGTGATGTTCGTATTTTCTGGTTTTTATAACCATTCAGTCCAATCAGTCCGTTCTTCTTCTATATGGCGAATTAGAACACGAGTGCCATCCCATCGGAATTCCTCTTTTATTTTTTTAAAAGAGGACGGTTCCTTTCTCTTTAGAGAATTTCAGAGAAAATTGACGGATTAGGTGAAATCAACTCATCTCATTTCACCTCATCTCAACTAGGAACCATAAACAAAAATGTAATATGCATTATGAATGATTTTATAATAATAATTAAGACGGACGAATGAAAGATGGCTGAATTTCAAGACTAATTAAATGATTAATTAAATTGATTGCACAAAAATTTGGATGATTTTGCTTAGCACCAATAGAACACCAATAATTCTTCCACGCTCTCTATAAAGATTTAAGTTGGATTTTAGGTGATAGAAACTTCGTACGACTCGAAATGCGCAAATTTCCAGTATCGTAATGGCTTCGATATGTTATCGCGTTTCGCTTTTCCACTAATATTTCTCGTTTTTCTCATTATATATTTTGTAATTTATTTTATTTAAATTCTCGCAAAATGGCATTTTATTTTAGATTTCATTTCATGGAAAAAAAATTGATAAAATATTTGCTAACATATAATCGATTAAATACTATAAAGTTTGAGGTTATTTCTAGGAAAATTTCCGTCTTTCAATCGCATACACCAAATTCCAATTCAATTTTCTATGCTAAAATGCTTGGACAAAATCCTTCCAGCAGAGAGGACTATTTTGAAACAAACGCTCAGACAGTTCGCACATTTCCTTTAATGAGTCCCAATAACATTCGTCGTTACGGTTCATAATCCTTACTGAACCATTAGTGCCATTCGCTTTGGGATTTTCGTCCTTTATTAAAGTAATCACCCCATTGAGAGTAACCTTATTTTTATTTTTTATTCATTTTAGAAATTAAAAGAATAAAAAAAAATCTTTCCATTCAAAACTTTAACAAAATTGAGCATTTCAATACAATGGGAATAAAAAGAACCAAATTTAATATTAAATGCAGAAATCGAAAAAAAATGAGATCAAAATAACATTTTGTCAGCATCAATAAAAGCTTCAAGGTCGTTGAAGCATCAATAAACCTTATGGCAACAATTAATATATGCAAAATTCACTAAAAAAAAACCTAATACAAGTCCAATAGAATATTAAAAATAAAAAATAATAATTTATACATACATGAAGGCAAGAAAAAACTTTGAAGATAAATGCAGAACGAAAATGCGATTTGACGTAAAAAAAAATCTATCACAGTTTCTGAACGAAATTCATAAAATTATATTGGTCTTTTAGAAAATTCATCGCAATTTAAAATATTGCTTCTTTGATGAAATCCATAATAAAAATTATTATGATTCAGCCTTCCATTCAGACGGTTTCGGTGAAATCCATAATAAAAGCTATTATGATTCGGCCTTCCATTCAAGTGGTGCTTCACCAACGTCAATATAAATATGATAATATAACGGTCGCGTTATTATCTGTAATAATTTATTCTAATTCACAATAAATTTCGATAAAAATATTACTGAAAACGAAAAAGTTAAAAAAAAATCCTCTGCTGAATGGATGTTTATCATTATAACGAAGACAACATCTAAATAAATTCACTAATTTTTTTGTATGAAAAAATATACCTTACGAATTTTCCAAGACGTTTCATTCAATCCATCTACTGTCCAACGAGTTGCAGCAGAATCAAGTAATTTATAGCTGAAAAAAAAATGCAGTGTTAATTCCATCAATAAATATTTATCCCACCTATATGGCAAAATAAAGAAAATTAAAAATGTCACCGTTATAGAAAAAAGACAAACATTAATTTAGGTGCAGTGCGCTTCCTTTTCACATGCTTAAGCATGGAAAAACGGCCAATTTTAGGATCTGGTCGTTCTATTGTCAGATTCTGAGACAAAATTCGCGTTCCTGAAATTCAAAACAATTGATGGAATTTTCATTTTCAAGAACTATGAATAATTCAGTCATGATTTAAACTGCTACAGTGAAATTCTCATAGGAATTTTAAGAACAAATGTTCGTTTTCTTGGTGAACAACAGAAAAATACATCAGTGAAAGAATTCCTTCTGTCCGCACTTTTTTTTCTTCTTAGAAAAATAATATATCGGTGACGTTTTTCGAACAACAATTATTTCTGGTTTGTCTGGTTGGTTATGCTCCATTGACTTGTATGATGAGTTTTTTTTCCGCCAAAAAGCTATCTGTCACTTTTATGATGGGTTCTTTACTTCAAGACACGAATCGAAAAGGAATCGAATTCAAGATAATTGACTTCATATTACTATTACTCGAATAACATTTGTCTCCACACTAACGTGATCATTTTTTCCTAATAATTAGAAGTTTGCCCAGAAATGATGCAAAAAATGAAAATAACAAGTCTAGGAAAGATTAAAAGTAAGATAAAAACAAACCCATATCATCGTCTTCACCACCCCATGCCCAATACATATTAGAATATCCATTAACTGCACGATAATCATCCATACTAATTGCAAGCACACCACCAACTATTTCTTTGTACCACAATCTAAACATAAAGTTTCACTAAAAGATCTAAAAAACAAAAAAAATAATCATCTAAGCAAAGCAAATTTGATATAAAATAGAAAGGAACTGTGAAATACTAACTGATATCCAAGATTGCTTACAAAAGCACCAATATGCCTTGGGGAAATTGGACAACCGTATGAATTCCTATCATCTTGTGGAAACATATCGACATCATGAAAAATAACACAGTCAACTCCGAGTGTTTCGGCAAAACGAAAAGCAGCATTCATAATGCGTCCTTTATTGAATAAACCATTACCGTACTACAAAAATGAATTGTAAAACAATCGTACTCACTGGAAAATTTAAAAATTTCCGAAAAAAATCTTGTAATTAAGAAAAAAAATAAAAAACGAACCTGTTCAGTGACAATAAAACGAAAATCTAATAATTGCCTCTTAAGAATTGGAATTAAATAATCAATTAAGCGTGTTAAATGCGTTTGTCGATCACGGAAAGGAATTATTAAAGCCACCTAAAATTTAAATTAATATTAATTATAAATTCGTTATAAATCGATTTAGAAGATGAGTTTTTTTCTTTATCGAGCCACCATGTTTGTTTTGAATGGCTCTCTATTCTTTCTTTAGCCACCGAGAAATAGGTGCACCTAATGGACCTCTAACAGTAATTCAATTTTAATAATGGATTTATTGTAACAAAAGGAAGCAAACCGATGTATGATTGGTCAAAGTAAGATAAGTACGATTCAACGCTATTAATGCTCTTTAGGTTCAGTTAAAAAAATAGGTAAGATCAAGAAAATGCGAACTATTAATAAATATGAATATAAAAAAAAAACCTTTAAAACAAAATACCTTATATATCTTAAAGAGAAGAAAATACCTTACTTTATATCTTGCAATGCAATCAGTTGGTTTCCAACAACCACCTGGTTGAAGAAAAGGATAATGCCTGATGACAGAATTTTCTTTTAAATTCGATATCAAAAGCACGGCTTGCGGCAAATGTCCAACTAAAACATTTATATAATAATTATAATAATTATAATATAATAATTAACAAAGAGGAGAATGTACTTAAACAATGAACGATTTCCTGAAAAAAAGAAAATTTTCCAAAATCCATACAATTTATTTTCTTGTTAAAATTTTATTTCTTTTTTTCATATCCCTCTTCGCTCCCTTTTATAATATTATTCACCATTTCTAGTTTAAGTGGCTCAAATATTTTTACTAGTAAGAATTGCTTCTAATGATACGTTAACTTCCGTCAAAATATAAATGAACTTATGCTGTTTGCTCAGAACTGAATCAACATACGATTCAATCACAAATGTCCTCAAATTCTGTGAAATGAATGTAAATAAAATTTGTAAAATAAAATATAATTTGAAAAAAAAGTAATAAATTAGGGAAAATATTTACGGAGATTTTTATTTTCATCAATATCAACGCAAATCGGTAATAATCGATTATCGTCTTTCTTCGCCCTCAAAATTTCTTCAATTCTTGAGATCGATGAACTAAGTGTTTCATTGCTTATTTTTTCAAATAATCTCAGATTTGACTTATTTTTTAACGATTCTCTCCAATCATTCTTTCTAAAATCATTCAAATTAAAAGGAAAGAAAGTAATAATAATAAAATTTTAATAATTAAAAATAAGCACAATGAAACTAACTCAGAAATATATTCATTAGCGATAAGCAAATCACTCCATGGAGCATTACCACCAATAAAATTCTGATTAATACTTAGAATATCTCGCACCTTTGCAGTGTCTGATCTGTAATATCTTTTTAATAAGAATTAAAAATTTTCATATATTTTAAGAATTATAATCAAAAATATGGTTAAATCGAAATTTTAATAAATTTTGCAAAAAAAATCGAAGCCAGCTAATCACATAAAGCTTTTTCATAACACTGATTTAAGCTAAGCAAGGCCGAGAAAATGTTGAGAAATATTTTCCGATTACTATCAAAATTCTTTTATGAAGTATTCACTATATTCATCCATTATTATCATAAATTACAATTTATTGAAAAAGAAGTTTTAAACTAAAAAAATAAGAAATTTAATAATCGAATTATAAAATATAAATTATGAAAAAAATGAACAAACCGTATTGATACGAATAAATTTCTCCCAAAATAATATACAAGAACAATAAATAAGAAAAGAAAAATACGTTTTATTAATGAAAGCCTAATAAATAAATGCATTTTCTTTGATTTTTATAATAATCGAGCAATTTTATTCGTTTCATAAATTATAAATTATGATATGAACCTAAAAATTATCATTAATTAATTTTTACATTTATTTAATAATCATTTATCAAATACTACGAAAAATTTAAAGCGACAAAGAAAAACGATAAGCATTCCTCTTCGAACACGCGAATTCGATGCCCTATTATGTCTTATATAAACTCGATATAAACTATGAAAAAAATACGATCTCTATTACTGGAGAAAAATCAAAATATATGACGCTAACTGAAAAGAAGTACCATATTTATCATTTAAAAAATATAGAAATAATAAGTAAAATATTTTACAAATCTTAAAATTTTATAAAATTTTCGAAGCACCAAATTTCATATTAACTGATGAAATTTAATGAAAATCTATAAAGATTTATAATAAAAATTTGCAACTATCAATAATCTGCTTAGAAAGCAGATTAAAATCATTAAAATTGTATTAACCTAGTTAGCGATTTTAATTTTTAAAAAATGCTAAAAAAAAGAAAAAAAATAAAAATTGTTATTTACAACTCGTAAAAAAAGTTTTGTATTTATTTCTTTTTCTATATTTTCTTAATATTTCAAAACAACCAAAATAATAAATTCACATTTTTTTATTTATCATATTTATCATATATCAAGCTGACGAAACCTTTATGGAACCGTCATGAAATTACCGTAAAGAAAAAAATTGGCGTCCACATAGCTGCAATTCGCTCGATCTTGCTATATGGGTGCGAAACATGGCCAATGAGAATGGAAGAAGCTATTAAGGAGCTATCAACCTTTGATCACTCATATCTTAGATACATTTTACGGATTCGCCGAGTGGATATAATCGTTCATGAATGCATCCACTCTCGCTCAAATATTACTTGCATTAACAGTACCATCACAGAGGTCCATCTTTCGCTGATTAGGGCACGTTCATCGTCATCAACCACATATTTCATTACTTGCTGAACCCTGTGATGGTTAGCGTCATAAGCGAGGAGGGCCAATCAAGACCTGGACTGATACGGTGAAAAAAGATTTTGAACGTATAGGGGGACCAACGATATATGGACTTAGACGATGGAAAAACGAATGGCTTCTATTACTAGTGGTGGCATCGGACGAGCAGTTTGGAGACGTCTTAGCCGTGCAGCCTAACCAGTAATCGTGTTAGAATAAGAATCTATTATATATATTAGTGGTGTGAGAATATCAAATAAAATTATTTTAAAAAATTTTTAAAATAAAGTTTATTTTTAATAATAATAAAATTTTCTTTTTGAAACGATTAAGTTTATTTTTAGCAAATTATAAAAGATTTATGACCAATGTTTAAAATTTAAGATAGTAAATTGCATTAATCAACTTATCAAAATTGAGTTATTTATTGAGTTATTTCGTTTATGAAATGAAAAAAAACGAACCTTTTTCGGTGAAAGGCAATTTCGAAATATACATAATTCGAAATATTTTTTATAAAAATTATTTATATACCTTCATTACTTATCGAATAAAATAGAAAATATTCAAGAAAATTTTCATTACTGAAAATTCAAAATTTTTTCAAACAAAAATAGATTAAATGAAAGAAAACTCGAAAAAAATATCGAAATTATCGAGACGTATGTACGTAACAATAAACGTAATGTAATGTAACATAATACGCGATGCACGTAAAAATGGTGAATTGTACACGCAATAATACGTGTTACACGCAAAAACAAACATTGCACGCAATATGAAGAACAACAACAAATACAACATGCGATGCTATTTTATATCTTATTAAATGTGGATATCTTATCAGTTACCCTATCACTATCCTATAGAATATAAATCTTATTTTACTGATATTCCCATCATTTTCCCTCTAAGATACTACATACTAGTCGTCGCGGGAAGAACCTTAAATCCATCAGCTCGACTATATGATGTGAATCGATTGCATAGCATCGTCTATACTGCTGGTTTTTCCACCATCCATCCTAAGGACCCCTGCATAATCAAGCAGAATATGCGAGGGTCACCATTTCACACCAAAGGTTCATTTTTATTCAAACATGCAGCTATTTTTTATAGGCAATCCAGCGATAATTACAGGCTTAGAACGTGTCGACTGAAAGGAATGCTTTCAGTGAATATTAGTCACGGCAGTGGGCCGATTGGCTTGAAAAATTTCCACATCAATGATCACAAAACGGTTCGCGCAATTCGCAAAACAAAAAAAAACACAAAAAATAAAACTCGTAAGCATTCGAAAATAAAAAAATCTTTAAAAATTTACGAATTCAAGAAAAAAATTTTTCCTTAAATCGCTAATTTAAAAACGAAATTGAAAAGTAAAATTTATATAAAAAAGAAAAAAAAGCAAATTTTCGTTAAAAGAATTAATATTGAAAGCATAAAAATATTTATTCTATAAATTTCAAATATTTAAATTTAAATTTTAGAATTTTAAAGAAAATTTTCGCAGAAAAATAAAATTCCTCGACGAATTACTTCCATAAATTCTGTTTTTTTCTATTAATTTTCACTAAAGAAAAAAATTTTATTTCCCTTCTCTTTTTCTCACCTATAATTTTCCTTCATTTCTCTATTCTTCTTCTTTATTCTTTCTTTTCAATCTTCAATTTCCTTCGAAATCTTTACCTCCTTTCCTTTCCTTCCCTTCCTTTTTCCCCTCCTTCGTCCCTTCTTATCAATCCTCACGCCTCATTCCTCCACGCTTCTTTCACCTTTCCATCACCAATCAAATAGTGACCTCCTAAGATCAAGGAATTTGGAACTGAAACTATTCATAGTAACGGCTCGTACGAATTTTATTTGAGAAGGTCGACTAGGAACGAAAACTGTTAAGATAACAAATGTAAGAACTTTTCATAAATATTTTAAATAATTAATAAATACAAACAATGGCGGGTGGTTGTTTGGCGTAATGGGGCGAATGGCTCGGAGCTGCGTTCGGGTCGGATTGGGTTTTCAGGTCATCGTTGCGGGTCACTTATTAACAGAACATCGGGTCTGATTTTGAGGGCATTTCGTAAAGATTTCGAACGGTGTTCGAATATTTGTTCAATTTAAACTCGATGACAGCAATAATTTACGCCGAAAAAGGCGATTTTCAGTCTTTTCGAATCAAAACAATGGATTTGCCATAAATTAGATTCGATTTTTGAACAATGTTTGAATTAAATAAGAAACAAAATTTATGGCGAATAAAAAAATGAAAGAAATCGCAATGGAAATTTGTTATAATCGTAAATTTTGAATAAAAAATTTAAAAATTTTTCTAAGTTTTTCCATTACAAATCTATTTTTGTGGAATATTTTCCGACTGCATTTTCCCTAATAAAAAACAATGAATTTCTTTTTCGTTCATTGCTTTAGGATTTTATTTTTTTTTATTGGTCTACAACCACTAAAGGTCAGCCGCAGATTTGGATAATATGTTACTGGATTTTGGCGGAAGAGAACCATCTTTGTCCTTAGCGAGTGCAACACGGCTATTTTCTATAAACAAAAAGGTAGCTAATTTTACTTTGGCTTCGATTTTGACTTTTTTTGATAATTTTCTATTTTTTGAAATTATTTTAATTTCATCAATGGTTTTATCAATTTTATCAATTTTTCACAATATAAAATAATTCTAATTCTCAGTTTTATCTTTTTTTATTTTTTTTATTATTCAATTTTTTTTCTTTTTTAGGATAAAAATAAATTTAGTGAAGATAGTGCAAATTTATTTTCTCTTTTATATTATTCAGAATTATAAATTTTGTTGCATTTTGTTTCTTTGTTTGGTGCTCAATAGTTCGAATAATCAATTAATTTTTGTTTAAAGTTAAACAAAAATTTTAAATAAAAAATCTATGTTTTTAGAAGAGAATTAGTGAAGAAAAATAATGGCGATGATCGAAACGGAACGATTCGCTGATAATATCATTGGGTACGCAAATATTCTATTCATTGCTATTTACTTTTATTTTTTACTTTACTTTTATTACTTTTCCTTCTTTAAGTATTTTTAACCTCCGCTATCAATAATTTATCTGTTAATTAATAAGTTAATTGATCATTTTATGAATTTCTGGTGCCTCTCTATTTTGCGTGTTATTTAATGATTTTGACCTTTAAAATTTTTTCAATCAGTTTTTTTCCATCAATGATTTTGTTATTTCTTAAGCTTCGAAATCTTATTAGTGATTCAGTTATTATTCAATGGCGTAAACGTATTGTATTGCATTTCTACCATTTTTCAAATTTTTTTCATAACTAAATATCCTAAAATTGTTTCTTAAAAAGGAGAAATTTCGAGGGAAATAGTACAATCAATATTTTATCATTATTTTTTTATTTGGAGTGGAGCAATAATTTAATTTGCTTATGTTAGAGATTTTTTAAAATATTTCAATAAATATAAATTTTTTTTTTCTTTAAATACTATTAAATTTTTATTTATTGAAGTTTCATTGCATTTATTAGAAAAAATTAAAAAAATTTTGATGTTATTTAAAATTTTTAGCTCAAATATGGGTAATAATTCAAGTCGACCTCCGCAAATCGATAATTTACTTAAACTTGATGGATATTTATGGAACTATCAAGGGGAAATATCACGGCGATATGCTGTTTATTTGGATTTTATTAAAAAAATTGAACAAGTACATCTTTTTTCTCTATTTTTTGTCATAAGCCAAAATATTTGGCTATTTCGACAAAATTTTCTGTGCAAGTGCAAATTTTCCACCGTTCGCAAATTTGTTTGTAAAAGATGATGGCTGGAAAATTATTGGGCTTGCATTATTAAAATTTTATTAATTTAATTAAATTAATTTAATTAAATTAAATTGCTCAAATTTTAAATTAAAAATTAAATAATAGAACTAAATGTTTTTTCAGTGCAGTTTCTGCGATACATTTGGTATTTCTGTTAATAAAGCAGCATTTAAGGTAGTAATTAATTAGTGAAAAAGTATATGAAAAATGAAATGATCAAAGAACTAAATCCCACAATAACTTTGTTGATGAATTGAGGTTTAGGTAAAGTTTTATATGTAAATGCGTTCAATTGTAGTGCGGTGGATGGGAAACGTTTACGACAGGATATCGCGAATTTGGAATGCATGTGATGCCAGATAATTCGGTTCGATGTTTAGAATGGGCGCCTGGAGCTGAAGCACTTTCACTCGTTGGCGATTTTAGTTAGTATTTTTCTATTACTATTACTTTTACTACTTTTTGTTAATTAATTATTATGATGTTTTTCATTATATTATATTTTTATATTTTTTTTGACCTATTTATTTCCATTTTTTTTATAATTATAATTTAATTTTGTGTTCTGAAAATTATTTTCTTTAGTCAGTAATTTCATTGTAAACAATCGAAAATTAGAAGCTCCTATTTAATTAATCGATTTCATGATAATAAATCATATTTATATTTTGTTCTTATTTCTTCAGACAATTGGAATGATCAGGCCAATCCGTACAAAAAACTCGAATATGGTAAATGGGAATTGGTAATTCCAGCCAATAAAGATGGAAATTGTGCAATCAAACATGAATCAATCGTTAAGGTTGATTATTTCGTGTTTTTTAATTGATTTTATTGGTTTTTTCACATTTTAAATGAACAATTTACTTTGTGAAAAAAATTTTTTTTTTTGCTGTGTTCACATAATTACATGTGATTTGTTATCAAATATGCTTATATCACTGATTGGTTGCTTCAATTAATGGCACTAATTCACTTTTTCCTGATTAATTAACATTTTGACAGCTTTAATAATTTTTCTTTCGTGGTTATGTTTTTTTCTTTTTTGTTAATTTTTCTTTTTTTCTTCAAATTCATCTTCAAATATCAAATTATTTTTTTTAGGTAGCAGTTAAAAAGCATGATCACTATAGAAATAAACTTTCTCCTTGGGCACGTTATGTTACAAGACCGAAAGAAACTTTCACTTATCATCAAGTATTTTATAATCCTCCAGCATCTCAAGTTTATCAACAGAAGCATCCAAAACCACCGAAACCTGTCGATATGAGAATATATGAGGCTCATGTTGGAATATCAAGTTGGGAAGGAAAAGTCAACAGCTATCGCGATTTCGCTGATTATATTATTCCAAGAATACGTGCGCAAGGTGTACAATTTATTTTTCTGATTTTAATTTTGTTATCCCTTTATTTTTTCACTTAGAAGGAAGGAAAGGAAGAAATAATAATTCCAGTGGTTTTTTAAGGATATAATACGATACAATTGATGGCTGTTATGGAGCATGTATATTATGCAAGCTTTGGTTACCAAGTAACGAGTTTCTTCGCTCCAGCTAGGTAAAATCATTTTAATTTTTCTTTATCTGTCGTTATTTGTAGTTGCGCCAGCGGCTGTTTGGGTGATTTTTCCAAATTCCTGATGCAATTACACACTGAATTTTATAGAAACCATTATCTTTTTAATCAATTATTAAATTTATACTATTATACAATTATACTATTAACGGTGTAATAGGATAAGCTTATTCGAATAAGCTTCTTCTGATGGACTTTTTCGAGATATTTATAATAGATATTCGAGATATTCTGTGAAATGGTTTTAAAGATCAAGCTTTTTATTGAATTTAAGAAAACATATCACTTTTGAAACCACTCTTTTACCTTCCCTTTGTCCAAAAACAATATAATGTAATCAAAATCCTCTCGATTCCAATAAAAATCTAATAAGACAAGAAGATTTTCTTGATTTTCAAATCATCTATTTGAGTGTTCGAGTTATCATGAGTGAATTTCGTCAGAAAATTTTTTCAGTCGTTCTGGAACGCCTTGTGATCTAAAATATTTAGTCGATAAGGCCCATGAAAAAGGTATTTTTATTCTTCTGGATATAGTACATTCACATGCATCGAAAAATGTCGATGATGGTTTGAATGAATGGGATGGTACACAAGGTTGTTATTTTCATGACAATTCTCGAGGTTATCATTCGTTGTGGGATTCCAGATTATTTGATTACACTCAGTATGTTATAAAAATTTATTCAAAATATTTGAAACCTTAAGTTATTATAACAGCGCGCACTATTTATTTTTTGATTGAGTCTGCTGGCAAAAAATCCTTTTTGAAGCTTCTATTTGTGGCTTTAAAATGGTAATGAATAACTGCATCTTTTACATTGGATTCTATTTTTTTCTGTTCATTTTTTTACTGTAAATCATTTTTTATCACTGAAAATTATTTTAAGAATCGAAACATTACGTTTTTTGTTGTCAAATCTGCGTTGGTGGATCGAAGAGTATGGTTTTGATGGTTTCCGTTTTGATGGAGTGACTTCAATGTTATATCACTCTCATGGAATTGGTATTTTGATGAAATTTGATTATTTATTTCAGCAGACTTTAAATTTTTCTCTAGTATTGAAATTTCGATAAATAAAATGTTAACAAGTAGATTATTTTAGTAATTTTAGTAATTTATTTTAGTAATTTTTATTATTTTTTAGCTGATTCTTTAAGTGGAGGATATGACATGTATTTTGGACTAAATGTTGATACAGATTCTCTTGTCTACCTTATGCTTGCGAATTCATTTCTTCATCGTAAATATCCTGATATTGTCACAATCGCAGAGGTACCTTGCATTTTTTAATTCATTTCTCTTGATTTTAGATTAAAAGGATAAAACTAGATTATTTCTAGATTCGAAAAAGTTTCTTAAATTTAATTGCATTTATGATATGATTTATGATAAGGAAGTAAGTGGAATGCCTGCTTTATGCCGACCAGTCGAAGAAGGAGGTCAAGGATTTGATTTTCGTTTAGCTATGGCTTTACCTGACATGTGGATTAAAATTTTGAAGCACAAATCAGATGAAGAATGGAACATGAACGATATTGTTTTCACACTCGAAAATCGCAGGTGATCTCAATTACTCAATTCTATATAGGTTTATCATAATATATTTCGTTTTGATTTTACTTGAATTTAATTTTTCTAGATATGGCGAAAAAAGTGTAGCATATGCTGAATCTCATGATCAAGCTCTTGTTGGCGATAAAACTATCGCATTTTGGCTTATGGACAAAGGTCATTCTTTGATATTTCTACAAATTTATAAATATTAGAAAAATTCATAAAAAATTTTTGTAATAAGTGGTATATTCATTTAATGAAATTTGGATATATGGAATTCATTTATATATTCTTAAGTTCTATGGTTTTTCAGTCGTATTTGACTCTAATTTATATTCTAATTTATATTTTATATATACTCTATATTTATATTCTTTAATTTCGATTTTTCCTGTAAGGTGTATTTTTCGATTCGGTTGGCTATGGCGGTTAATAGACTGGTGCTTTTCCATGTTTGTCATACCTTAAACTAATTGAACTCACTTCCTTTTCCAGTCAAAACCTATAAATCCTTCAAGTAATAAAAAATGATTTACTATAGTATAATCCATAGTTGGTTAATAGATCGGTTATTAATCGACCAATAATTATTTTTATAGAGATGTACGATTTTATGTCAACGAAAACTCCACTGACTCCTATAATTGAACGCGGAATAGCTCTTCATAAACTTATACGTTTAATAACTTATGGACTTGGCGGAGAAGCTTGGCTTAATTTTATGGGTAATTTTTGACTTACAAAGGGAATTACAAAATCAAGAATTGTTGCATTTTCAGTGAGTTGAAAAATTTTGAAGGGAATGAATTCGGGCATCCGGAATGGTTGGATTTTCCCAGACATGGAAACAATGAGTCATTTCATTACTGCAGGCGGCAATGGAATCTCGTAGACGATGAACTTCTTCGATATAAATATCTGAATAATTGGGACAAAGCAATGAATGCTGTTGAAGAGAAATATAAGTTCTTGTCGCAAGGACCTGTGCGTATCGTTCATTTTTTTGTCATTTTTGGTTTTTTTATTTTTATTTTTCAAGTTTTTTATTTTTAATTTTTTAACTGGTTCCATTCTAATAAGGCTCCATCCTTCGTTATTTTTATTTCTTTCTTTTTTCTGCTATATTTTCATCTTTATATTTTCGCTTATCACTATTTTTCCCCATGAGTAGTTTAAAGCTGGCATTTTTACTTTTTTTTATAATGATATTTATTATAAATTAATTTTCTAAATAAATGAATAATATCTAGTGAAAATTAAATTTATTAGTAACTTGCTAATTATGAGTATTCGTTCTGTGGTTTTTTGATAAGTATTTTCGATTTTTTTAAACCATTTTTCCATTCCATTTTCATGCCATTTTTCTTATCACCATTTTCCTTCTTGTTTTATTCTTCCTTCGTATTATTTCATCGAAATTGGTTTTTCTGCCTGAATAAAATGGACAATATTTTCATTCGTTTAATTGTTTAGGCATACGTTTCGTGGAAACATGAAGGCGATAAAGTTATAGCATTTGAACGAGCTGGACTGCTTTTTGTTTTCAATTTTCATACTCATAAAAGTTTTGCAGATTACAAAATTGGTGTCAATATAGCTGGAATGTATGTTTATTTTTTTGCAGTGGTATATAATTAGGTCACTGAATGAAATAAACGATATTTATCAATTGCTAATTATAGGCACTCATGGCTGTTTTAATAATTATTTCGAATACTTTTCAGGTATCGTTTGGTGCTAAACAGTGATGAAGTACTCTTTGGTGGGATTAATCGAATCGATTCAGCTCAAGCATTTCCTACATTTCCAGAAGGTTACGCTGGTCGTCGGAATCACCTTTGTGTTTATATACCATGTAGAACAGCAATAGTTTTAGCTCTAAAAGAGTGATTCTTTTTTTATTCCTTATAGGTTCTTAATAATTATTATTCTGCTAGTTTTTCAGTTCACCAATTATTCGTTCTATGGAAATATTTAAATTTAAAATTTATTTTGTTAACTTTTATTCCAGTGGTCATAATATTTGTGCAATTTTTGCTAGATATGTCCATATTTTCACTTTATTCATAGTATGGGAAGAATTTACATGAAGTATATGAAGAATTTTTTGCTTAATTTCATTTAGTTAGTTTCTGCTGTGGCTTTTTTTTAGTCATGAGTGATCTTTGCTAATAAATATGGAGTTACCATTGAAATCCATTTGTGTCATTTGTCATTTGTTAAGATCTTGGCATTTTGTCGCTTTATTAAACTTCTTCGCATGAATTAAACAAATTCAGTTTTTAAAGCGCTAGCTTTTTACAAAAAAAGTCTTCATAGAAAAAGAAAAACGGCCATTTTCGCAGACTCATCATGATAGGTCGAAACAACTATATTTTTTGCAATTTTATTTTATTTTTTGTTTTTTTTGTACGATACCCCAAGTTATATACAATATATATATATATATATAATATATTTTATTGTACCAAATCAAACCAACCAGGGAAGTGTGATATTAGTTAAAAGAGCTACTGGAGTAAAACTTGCATGGACAAGATAAAATCTGGAATTGATGGAATGTTATTACAGCAGATCTAATGAAAAGAATTATATGAAACATATAAAGGAATTATGAATGGACGAAAGATCTGCATCCGCAGTAATTGAGAAACAGCTAGAAATACTTCAACATAGAAGAAAAGCAGAAAGTTGTTGTCTTAACTGGACATAGATCAGCTCTGCATCCCAGATCCGAGGTAAGCCAAAAGGGATGCGCATCCAACAAACTTACAAGTTGGAAATTCGCTTGCAATGTCCTCTTTGCAAGGTAGAGCAGTTGATATAAGGCAAAAAATGAATAAATAAGAAATCGTCATATAGTGGACCAGCATCATCCAATTATCGACCAATAAATTCCTCTGTATTAAAAATCATGGGCTAGCATATGAGTGCAGTTCAAAAGGGCATTGAAGGCTCGAGACACTAGCCATGCACTAAGTGCCGCTCAGGACTCAAGGTCTCGAAGTCTAGGCATATTCCAACCAATGACTTAATACTCTATATGGATACACAAATTGAATAAGAACAAGCTGGATTCAAAACTCGGATGCCAGTAGTGTTTCAGATGAACTATTTCATCATGTACATAACCTATTATCAGTTATCATAAATGGTGCAAAGAACCTATTTTTATACGAGGCCATACAGTAGATATAAATTGCTATTGCAAGAAATAACTGATCTAATGACAAGAGGATTCTTATTTCATTCTTCGCATAGTTATTGGTGCTGCTTAATGTATTTCTTTTTCGCCAAACTGAAAAAATTTGTCTACTTCGATAGGTCCAATCACACCTAATGGACTCTTAGAAAAAGATAATTATTGTTGGCTCGTTTTAGTCGAAGAAAAGCTATGGAAAAGGAAAAAGAAAATATTAATGTTGAAAATTCGTACTTTTAACAAATTTATTTTTTCGATATTTTTGATAAAATTTATATACATTTAAAAGAATTACCAAAAAAATTTTTGATAAATATAAATATAACAATAATTATTTTCGTTTAAATTAAATATAATTGCGAAAAATCGAAAATTTATTAATGTCAGCAAATTTCGTAGTAAATTTTACGTATTAAAAAAAGGCTATCGAATATAAATTTAGCAAAAAATATCTGTGACGAAGAAATACCAAAGAAAATAAATAAAATTAAATAAAATAGCTATAAAAAAATTCATTTATTCCATTTTTATGGAAATCTATCTTAATGACATTTCATTCGACATTTTTTAAAGCTAATTTTTTGTTCCATCACCTAAATTGTTCGGTTACTCAAAACCCAACGTGCATTTTTTCCTTATCTTGACTTTTTTTTTCAAATCGCCATTGTCGATTAGACTCGCACTGCTGGTTTGTCAGACTAGACAAATATGCCACCAGGGAATCATTTAACGATAGGAGAAGTAAGTAGAGATGACTTGTCAGAATCATCCGGTTTTTTGGACTTCTGCGAGGAGTAGAACCTCAGAATAGACGCTCCGAATTGAGCAACAAACCACTGAGCCAATCTACTCTCTCTTTCTTGACCATATCAATTCAGTTTTTCATTTGCGTTATCAATTTAGATTGTGTGAATCCATCATAATAATAATCATTTATTTAAGATTAATAATAATTAATGAGATTATTATTCTATGCAATTTTTATTGATTTCGACGCACATATAATTTGTTGGTTTTTATTTAATTTGTTCCAATGCGAAAAACTTTTTCTAATGATAAATTTGATAAATAATAAAAAATTTTCGAGAATAGGCTTTAATTTATGTTTATTTGCTTGTTTTGCGAATAACTGATTAGTACCACTATTTTTGGTTACGTTCTCTCAGTTGGTAATTATTACGGTTGGAAGTTTTAAATGAGTTGCTAAGCGCCACTCGGCTTTTTTAACGATAGATTTTCTCGTGTTAGCGATAGTCGCTGAACAGTCACCTCGCAATACGTGTCGATCTACTCGGCTATCCTATCGCCTTCATCTAAAATAAGGCAATTCTTATGTAATTTTGATTTGCGCTTCATTTTATTTATTCCAAGCCAAGCCATGTTTGCTGCTAACTTTGCTGTTAATCAATTAAATTTTCTCTTCTATTGTTCGTCGATTGGCATCAATCAATGCAACTATTGTTGGATTTCAGTTTTATAGCCAAATTTGAGGATTCTATTTAAATTTTGGATTTTCATCTTTTAATTCAATCAACGAAATTTTTCATATTCCATTTTTAGAAATTTTTATTTTTAAATTAGAAATTTTAATTTTAATTTTTATTTTTTGAATTAAAAGGAAAAAAACTTTTTTAAAAACTTCATTTACTTATTTATAATAATAAATATTTAATAAATATAATCAAATAAAAATATTTTTTTTAGGAACATTTAAATGGAAGAATTTTTTTCTTTCTCTAACGGTTCATTTAATCATTTTTGATTCGATTTGGTGCAACGGTTACGGTGAAATGCTTTTTAAAAAAATAATATTGTATTTTATAGCAAAAAAGCTATTAAAATATTCGATGTGTTTTTTTAAAAATTTTCAAATTTGAATCGAATAAACATAAATATGAAATAAAATTTATAAAATTTTAGAAATAAAATTTATAAAACTTTATAAATAAAATTTAATGAATAGCGAGAATACCACAGAGATTCATTTCAAAGAATTTTGTTAAAATATTATAAACAATAAAAATTTTCAATTAAAATTTTTGTTTAAAACATATGTGTTTTTGATGTTTTTAAAATATGTCAACTATGAGCCGAAAATGTGTCAAACGTGTTTCCCGAAATTGAGGAAAATTTTCAAAAGGTTTAAGGAAATTTGATGAATAGATTTTAGTGCAATTCACGAGAAATGACTTTATGCATCATTCACAATTTGTTTGAAGAAATTTGCAAAGAGATGAAAATGAGAAATACGAGCGAGAAATTGTGGTTGATAAATGTTCAGTGTTTAATAGAAATTTATTCAGTTATTCATTGTCATTGTCAGGAAAATTGTTGTAAAAGATTTACCATATTTTATCGAATTTTGAGGAGTAGTTGTTCGATTCGGCGCGTCGATGCTGAAGTTCTTTTTCTCGCACGAGAGTAAATCTGTCCAAAAGTACGGATGATACTCACCATCTATCGTCAAGGAGCTTCCTGGTATAATTGTCCACTACTGAATAAGTCCAACCAGCGATGGTGAAGGTTTTTTTAAAAAAATCAGAATTTTATAAAAAATCATAAATTAAAATTTTATTAATGCAAAAATTTAAAGTTTTATTGCATTTGTTACATATTATATGATAGATTGTATGCAGAAAATTTTATTGAAATTTTACTTGTAGCATTGTTTTTCTCCATTTATTAGTACTTCATTTTTCATTTTGTCAGTATTTCACTTTTCTTCATTTCTTCAGATTGATGTACCAAAATTATAATAGAGAAATCATTTAAGTTTCCACATATATCCTCACTATCAGTTATCAGTTTTTAACGATAACACCAATTTTCTCAGATAATGCTTTCATTAGAGAGATAAAAGTGCTCAAGTACACTGTCTGGATTTAACACTATTTTTCTGGACATTTTCAACGTTCGGGTTGCTTTCGTTAAGGGAATAAACTCAAGTCCAGGTTACTCGCCTTCAGACGAAATATATACTACCCAATTACCGTAGTTTTCCAATAAATTGTTGTAATGATATTATGATGCGGACTTATAACTACTTTGCTTCTCATTTAATCCTTAACTGTTAGTTCGTTACAAGGCTCATAAGAGAGTTTTACAATTTCGGCTTCCACCCTTGGCTATTCAATATTATTCAATTAGAAGCCAACTAATTCAGCAACTCTATTTAAGCGAAGAGAGAGAGAGTACCACTGAAAGAAAATAGCCTTTTTTCTAGAAAAAAAAAGATAAGTGCTAATATCATTTATTTAGTTATTTCGACTCCACCCTTATTCAAATTTTCTTAAAGTTAAAGTCGTTCTAAAAATTATTTTTCGTTTTTTCGCTCATTTTAGCGATCAGTTTGAAAATCAAATAAATAAGTTATTTTCGGATTTTATCGTGGCGCTAAAATGATAAAATAATAATAAAATTTGATAAAATAATAGCAAATAAATTTTATTTAATATCTCTTGATCGAGGTGAGGTTGTATAAAATGTTACTATTCACTAGTGGTCCTCTGGTGCAGCTATAGCACACCATAAAAGCCAATTAAACCAGAACAAAAATGTTACTAGAATAAGCTGAAGAGTTTTAATAAAGAAAAAAAGAAATTTTAAGGCTTTTAAGTGGATTCTCAGCTTTGGCCTTTTTTGATTTATTTCTAATGTAATATTATTTATAATCTTTAAAAAAATGCCACCTCATAATGTATTTTTTAAACCTCCATTATTTTTTTATGGATTAAAAATCATAAAATAAATTTCATAAAATAAATTTTTTGTTTAATTTTTTCTCTTATTTTATGTAGGTTCGATTCTCTGCCTCCAGTGGAGTTAACCTATCTGATGCTTTGCGGCTTACTTATATTTCGATCATTAAATATCTCTGTGGCAAAAATTTCATACTAACAGCCTTTTACCAGTTTAGCCAAACGGAGCCAAGTTTAACCAAACTTTTTTTTATTTTCTTATTTTGCATAGAATATGCTTCAAATTACTGAATGAAATTTTCGTTATCCAACTCTTCGTATTATACTATTTGCTTCTCAAAAATTCCGAATTTGATTGTGAAAATCAAAACTGATAATAGATAAAATTATGGATAATAGATAAAAGACGATTTAGCCGAGTTTATTCAGATTTGCCCAATTATGTTCAAAAATGATTTGGCTTTGCTCGTTGAGTAAACATGTAGTAGTAGAAAAGTTCGAAATGAATTTCGTATCGTAACGAATGTTTTTTGTTCTCTTAAGCATTATTTATTATTTGGCTGAATCTACTGGGATGGGATCGTTCGCCACAGAGACCCTTGGGAACAGAGTCATAAGGTATTTCACTTATAGCAAAAATTTATTCTTGTTTGTGCCGTGAAAGAAGACGATTGGTGCCAGCGAATTTCAAAAATTTGTGAAATAATGTTTTTAATATTTTAGCGGTTTCTTTTCTCTGATTTTTAATTTTTAAAATTTCTATTTTCAACCTCCTTTGTTTTTTTGGAATTATTAGATTCTAAAAATCGCGAATAAATATCATTGAAGTCAACTTTTTAACGCTAAATTAGTCGATGAATTTTTAATATTTTCTTGTTTTAGAATTCGATATTCATTTCGGATTGTTTTTAGGTAGAACGAATGGGCTAAAATAAAATCACCGAATACGCACTTATAGAGCTCGAAAAAATTCGAATCAAATGAAGAAATCAAATATAAATGCACATTTATTATGGCTTCTACCACCCGTACAAATAAGGAAATAATCTCATCATTTCTGGCCAGCTCGCTAAAAAGGAAAAGTTTTTCTCTGGGAATCACTTGGCCTTGGAAGTAGAGCCAGGTCGTCAGCATCATTTGGATTTTTTAATGATAGATTTAGCATCACCAGAGAAAAAAATTGAATTTATACTCGATGCAAATCAAATGTAAACGCACTATCGAGTTAAGGAAGCAATATATTTTAATGAATATTTATTTAAATTATTTTACGAAATATAGAAATATTTTTAAGTTATGTGATAGCCTTAGCATTATCAGCAAAACTTTTAATGAAAGTAATAAAAATACCATACCAATGATAACAACAGTAATAATAATTAATAATAATGATTAAAAAAAAAGAAACTAGAGGCTGGCGTTGAGCAAAAATCGAGTGATACTGGCGATTCATCTGTACTTCTATCATCACCAAGTGATTTCATGGCAAAAATTAGCCCAATTCGGATTCGGTGAACCATGAACGAGACCAACCAGAAATAATGAGAGCCTTTAGTTAAAAAAACCTTTTATTTGCATCTACTGTTTTGCTTTTCTCGATATACGTCTCTCGAACAAATTCTCTATTAATATGCTTTTTCAGCTCGAACTCAACTCGATTTTAATTATTCATGCAATTTCGTAAATATAATTTATTTTATCAATATTTATAATGAAGCTATTTTTTTATAAAATAAATAATTATGTTAAATACAAATGCCTATGCAAATTTATTTTATGCGTGACACGAGTTGATGTTTTAAGAAAAAATTTTAACTGAAGAATTTCTTGAATTTTCAGAGAAAAAATGGAATTATTAATAAAAAAAATAAAATTGGCAAAGCGATTATTTGTATTGCGAAAACTCGGTCGTTGCAAAATTTTGCTTGTAATAGCGACTTTATTCGTTTATATATTACTAGGTTCGAGCACTATTTTCTTTTTCGAAAGCAATGCACATGAAAGTTATGTAAGAAAAATCTATTTAAATATTGCCGTTAATAGGTTTGTTTGCATTTTATTATTTATTTCTAGCGAAATAAAATTAAAGCAATTTTAAAAGATTAAAAGATTTAATTTTTATAATTATAGAATTTAATAATTGTAAATTATATAATTATAATGAATTTTCGTAATTATGTCTCCGTGGTTTATAATTATTGCATAAAAGAATTAAGAGTGAGTCGTTTCGAATCCGAACGCTTCGTTGAGTTGCCGAAAACAAAAGGGATTAGAGTAGCTTACTGGGTTATTGTTCAGTTCGGAGCGGCGATTCTAAGGTTCTAAGTCTGGCGCGAATAAGTTTATGCTTCAGAAATCCTATTTGCGTGCACCATTGCCATGCGACTCCCTGACTCTGCTTGGTCCGATAAGCCAGCGAAGCGAATCTAATTAACAATGGCGAGAATTCCCAAAAAAAACTATGGAGTTTATGCTTGCAATATGAAATAAAATGAAATTTCCTTCGTTGAACTAAAAAAAAGCATCGTGAATTATGTCAAAATACGAATTTATGAAATTAAAACAGAAATTTTTAAAGGCGAATGTTTGCTCGAAAAATGAGCCGACAAATTTTCAACGATACAAAATATTTATTAATTGTCATTGATCAAGAACAAACTGAAAGAGTTCAGGTTGATTTTTATCATGTAATAATTTCCAGTCATTTAATGCATGAAACTAAAAAGAAATACAAGAAAGTATCAAATAAGTTAATGCAAATGGAATTTTTCTTTCATCAAAGTATATTTTCCTCAATTTATGAAAAAAAGGAAAAAATTGAAAAAAAAAATTTTCAACCAAAATTCTAAAATTTTCTATTGGCAATTATAATCGAAGAAAGGTGAAATATTAATTTAGCTTCGAGGATTCAATATGAATTAAGAATAATATGGTTATGGATACGAACAAAATTTATTAGTTTAAAACAAATTTGATTTTAATGGCTAAATTATGAATTTATTTATAAAGTAAATAAGGCTTTATCACTCATTCATGGATTATTTTTCTCTTACTTCAACAGTTTTATCAGACATTATCAGATATTAGCATTTGTCAGACATTAATTAACTGATAGCAAATATGAGGATAAATAGCATGGATTTTGGGATTTCTGTCTATTAGTTCGAATAAATTTTTTATTAAACGTGAAATTACGATGACCATAGGGTTTTTCTTTTTTTTAGGGAAATTTATCCAATTTTTTTATTCGCTATTTTTCATTTTGTTTTGCTGCATTATACCACATTTGTTTCTTTTAACAATGGTATGCTTTTCCATTATTTTAGGCTCATTTAGTAAACGCATTGAAGGACTATGAGAGTCTATTGAATTTGAAAATTCCTGACAAAAGGGAATGGGACTTAATAAATTCGGTGAATTACATATTATCTTTATTAATAACGATTGGCAGCAGTGATTTAATGCCACGAACGAAATCCGGACAGGTAAGAGCATTATAACTTCAATTGTCTTCAACTTGCATTAGGTTCAGTTTTTAAGATTTATATGATTTATGGTTTGTGGTTCGTTATTAGTTCAATAAGCTGTTTGCTTTTTTTTTATTTCTAATTAATACTTCGTTATTTATCGGAAGAATAGTTAGTTTTTTTACGAAATTTTTATTTTTGATGCTTTTTGTAATTTTATTTTATTTTTTGCAATATATTTTATTAATATCCTTTTTTATTTTGTTGATGATTAAAATATATATTAAATTAAATAAAATTAAAAACTATTTCATTAATTTTTAATCATAAATTTGTTGAATAAATAAGTTTTATTTTTTATATTATATTTTTTATATTAAATAAATAAAAATTCTACTATGTTAAATTGTTAAATAATGATAATATTGAAAATAATTGGCAGATCGTAATATACAAATGTTTTTGTATATTACGATGTAATTGATGGGTTCCTGGATTCATTATGATTTAAAAGCGATAATAATAGTTATGTTCACTGATAATTAATCATTATGAACTGATTGATAATTAACCGTCATGAACTGATAATTTATAAATCATAATAATTAAATAATAATAATAATATATATAACTTCTGTTTGAATTAATGAATTTAAAGGTATTTTCATTTTGCTATGCGATACTTGGCATTCCATTTTTCTATGGCACTTTGGCGTTATTTGTTTATCAAATTATTATACCTCTCGTACAAGTTAGTTCATCATTATCATCATTTCATTACTTATCACTTCATGAAGTCGTCGAATCGAACAATATTTTTAATCGAACAATATTAATCGATTCTTATCCTTCAAATATGCGCAAAAATCTAATATAAAAATTGAAATTTGGCTGACTGCTAGGCACTCATTTTCTGCTTTCTTTAACGAAAGAATACTAGGAAACAATAGAACTAACCAAAGCAAAAATTCGCCATTTGCCCTGTTAGAATAAGAAAAATTGGTCGACAGTATAGGTTGGCATTCCTAGGGAATTAGCTCTAATTCTATCGCACAGTGCTACGAATATTAAATATTTTAATGCGATCAATTGACAATTTCATCGAAATTTTTTATCATAAATTTCTTAAAATTACATATTTCTGAAAAAGAAAATAATTTTCTTGAAAAATTAAATTTTATAGAATTACTTTAAAAGAAAAAAATGCTTAAAATTTTGAATAAATATAATAAAGCAAATTTATAAATTTAATTACGAAAAGGAGAATTTTGACTTCAGAAATGCCAACTTAAAAGAATTCACGACTAAATGAGAATATTGAAAATTTTGAATTTTGTTACATTGAAGGAAATAACGTTAGGGAAAAAATGCTAATCCCTGAGGTGTTTTAAATATTACACTTTGGCAAAGTCATTCGTTTAATTGTAGTGGAACTTTTTGAATTTCAGTTCTTCCTCGTTCCGTTCATGTGATATTTGATCATAAAATTAAAATATATTCCCTACATAATAATATATTTTAAAATGTAAATACGTCAACTAAAATTTTATTAAAAAAGTATAAATAAGGAGAAGTCAGAAATGTGTTTTTTGAATTTTGAATTTGTGATAAAAAATGATCGAACGAATATATAACTTAGAAATTTGTTTATCAAAGATATTTATTTCAAGTTTTCTTTAGGGATCCATTATATTTTATTAAGCTTTTCCATTTTTTTTTAGCTTAGCCTATTTAAAACTAAAATATCCAATGAAAGCTTTAGCGAATTATGCTTTATCACTGGAAAACTCTACAAATTGATGACTTATCACCATAAATAAATGAAGATAATGAGTTGGGGTAAAAAATATATTAGAGATTCTGATTATCTTGGCTGATAATTTTTTATCCATAAGTGCAAACATTGCTGGATTCCTGGGTCCATTGTTTGTGTCTGCTCAGCCTATTACTGTTCTTTAAGAATAAACTTCCTTAAAAAAAATTAAAATTCGATTGCCTATTAAGTTCCAGCCCAGCATTTTTTTAAAGAGCCCTCACCATTACTGGTTAAACTCGCTCCACTGGCTTGTCACATTGAGCAATATGCCAAGGAGTCCCTTGGCGACAGAAATGCAGGTAAATCACCAGGATTTTTCGACAGGTCTACTCCTGCGGGGAATCGAACTCCAGCACAGGCAAGAAGCAACAACCTACTGAGCCATTCTATCCCTAGCCTTTGTCCTTAATTAAATGTGTATAAATATGTAATGAAAAATCTATCTAAACCATATTGATGGAATTAACAGAAAACAAAGACAACCATCACCCGAGAATCGAGGGTTAGGTTCGAATTTGCTGATGCAGCAGTCTTCGTCGATCGCAACGAAGAAAGCAAAAGGAAAGCAGAATTGCTCATTGTTGCTTAAATGGAAGCGCCGATGCTGAGATACTCCTGGGAGTAGCAAACCTGTTCAGAAATCCAGATGCTAGCGACTCACCTTTACTTCAATCGTCAAGGGAAGGGATGATTCCCTGGCATATTTATCTAGACCGATAAACCAGCGGAGCGAGTTTCACCGGCAATGGTGAGAGCTTTTAAGCCAAACCACAAATGGTGTTTATAGTTGAGGAAAAGAGATCTACTCAATCAGTCTCAATTACAGGTCATTTTTATATTTTTGTTTTTTATGCATATTATTTGCTAACTCAAGAAATACTTAGAATGCAAACGACGATGTCACTCGGCGATTACTTCATTTTCATATTTCGACAATGCTTTTATTTACTTGGATATTTATGATAGCACTTGGCCTTTGGCATTATATATTCATCGATAAATTATGGGATTCCATCTACGCAGCTATATTCAGCGTATTCACCCTGCAGGTCAACGTTCTAAACTTTGTTGCTTATTTTAATTTTATTTTCACTAATAGAAAATTTATATAAATAATTCACATTTGTCTTTTTAATTCTTTTCTTTTTTTCTAAATATTTATTGTATTTAATTTTCTAAAAAAGAAGTTTTTTCGATCAAAAATGAATGAAATTTTAAAAAAAATTTAAATAAAAATTTAAAATTTTCAAAATCCAAAATTCAAAAATTTTTTATTTTTTGAAGAAGAAGAAATTTTGAAGAAATTTAAAATCATTAAATTTTCTAAAATTTGTAGAATTTAGAAATTTTAGCTTTTTCTTCAATAAATTTTTCTCAATAAGTTTAAAATTTACAAAATTTTATAAATCTAAATCTAAGATTATTTACTGTTTTGAAAAAATTTTTACAAATTAACTTTTATTATTTATGTTTGACTTTTTAAAATTTTTTAAAATTTCAGACGGCATTTTTAAAAAAAGTGAAGAAAAACGAGAAAATATTTTTATTATTATCGTTAATTGTTGCGATTCTACTGAAACTTATAGTTATATTTTTCATTATGTCAGTTTTTCGTAAACATAATAAAAAACACAAAAAAATAAAAATTAATAAAGAAAACAGAAAAAATCCTATAAAAATTATGATTAATGAAAAAGGTCAAACAGAATTAATTGAATAAATTTTTCTCGTGTTTTTTTTCTAAACCAAACAATATTAAATTCATTCGAGAAAAACGATAATTTTTTATTTTTACTATTATTTTTTTATCGAAACATATAAGCGAAAAATTTTCGTCGTTTTTTGCAGAAATTTTTCAGCAATAATTGATTAAATATATAATCAAAAAATAAATTTATTGCAAATAATAATTAAAAAAAAAACTTGTCAATGTAACATTTCATGGATCCAAAGCATAATTATATAAATTTTTCAAAAAAACCTGCTTTAGTCTCCCAAAAAAAATTTAAATTTTTCGCTAGTCAGTCAAATTGTAAATTCATTCTATGCGATTGTATGTAAATCGTCCAATAAGGCGAATCTGCAACAGCACGCGGATTTAATTTAATGACGTTTAATAATAGGCTAATCCTCGTCATATGACAGGAATTGGACCTATAATGAAATAGGTGATTGATGGATCCATGTGATGTGATAAATTGCAAAAGAACCAATCATGAATTCTTCTAAACCTCTTTAAAATTATTGTATTTATAAAAATATCTATCGATTCGGCTAATTAATTAATTGCTATTTTTATTAATTTTTTAATGTTTTTTTGTCAAATTCTAAATTTATTTTTCCATAAATTTACTTTCTTCCTTCAATTTATCATTTATTTATCATTTATTTATTTATCATTTATTTATTTGTCATTTATTTATTTACCATTATTTATTTTTATCATTTTTATTCACCTCATTACGATAAAAATTATTTATTTATTTTTTAAATCCATGAAACAAATAATTAAAAATTTAAAAGATTTTTGTGAATCAAATGCATTTATTTATGATTTTTATTATATTAGAAATTGCTCGAATAAATTCAATAAAGAAGCGATTGTTTTGTGGCCAATTTTTAAAAATGTTAAATATTATTGAAATAAAAAATATCATTAAATATACAAATATTATTAAATATAAAAAATGTTAAGAAAATAAATGATTTACAAGTTCATTATTTTGAAATTAGTCGCTTCAAAATGTAATATTACAATAATTTATTTTATTATTATTTTTCTCAAACATATCTATTAAAAAATTTTATAAATTACATCGAAAATTATTATTCTTTTTTGTGTTCATCTGTCTTAACCATGTTTTTGGTTCATCTTTTAAAATGAACTGTTGTTTTGTTTTGTCTAAGCGCAAACATCTTGGCCACTTGATCGAATTCTAAAGCGAAATTTGAACGGCTTAAAAACCATTCGTACTCCTGCAGACAAACACCTCTGGTTAAGGAACCTCTTTATTTTAGCAACCAGTGAGAGCAACCGACAAAAAATAGCGAAAGCGGTTGGAAGAAGAGATCATATAGAAATATGGAAAAATGGTCAATCACTCCTCCTCTACCTCTTTTGTTCCATAACGAATTCTAAGGCTCTTTTATGATCGCCATGATTGCCCAATCCTGAACGGCCATCTGGTTTTACTACAATATGCGATCAATTAGATAACCATTATATTTTTTACGAAATTAATGGTTGTTTGTTGAAAAGATGGGCACTAGAATGACCCACCCACCTGGGACAACCACATAATCTGACTTGTCCAATCTGACTGGACAATGGTCAGATCATCATCACGTTGAGAGGTAAGGGTCTGGGAAACAGGCTTTAAAAAATTCGAGTGTTGTTGTTGGCCCACCTGTGCTCTTATCGCCGGGCGGTTCCATAGCAAAGATTTCGGACCATAATAGTTAACGAAGCAAAATGATTAGTGCTAATCACTTAATTAGCTGCTTGTATATTCTATAAGATCATTAAAAATTATTATAATCGTTTTTGTTGTAGTTTTCATCAATAAAAAGTTTATTTATATTCGCGAATGGTACAAATATATTTCATTTTTCAATATGAATAAATTGCAATATTTTGAGGAAATCCCGGAAATACAATTATATACAAAGGCAATTGAAAAACGATTTAGTTTTTGAAAAAAACAAAACTTTTGGAAAGCTTTTATTGGAGAACTAGAATCCTAAAGAAATGTCCTTTAAGTAGAAAGAAATCGTCTATAAGATAAACCGACGATAACCTTGAAGAAAATCAGAGAGAAGACAAAGGGAAGAGTGACGGACTAAAGGACAAATGCCTTGCATGTGCCTTGTATGTGCCTTTCGAAAAAAAATAAAATTTGAGAAGAAAATATTCGAAAAATAGAAGAGAGTCGTTGTCGATGTCCTAAATGCCCTAAAATATTTTTTAAATTTTACGATGATTGAGCTAGAAAATTTAAAATTTATCGCTAAATAAAAGCGATTTTATAATTTAGGATTATAATTAATGATTTTACGATTGATATATCCTAATAATCGAATTGATAAATTGATAACAAACTGATAATGAGCAGTTACACCAACGATTATATTCGATTCTAATCTAGTCAGAGAAGTAAAAAAATAAAATAAATGCTGGGACTCGTCGCCTCTTTGGCGAAGTATTTTCACTGTTAACTCGAGTCGATTTCGACAAATGAGTAACAATTTGGAAAAATTTTTAGTGAAATAAAAAATAAAATGCGAGAATATATATTGAGAAGCCTTCAGCGATGTTCGAAGAGAAAACAATTACGAACCCATTTACTGGAAAAAAAGGAGGGTTTACGGGTTTAAACTGATTCCTGAAATTCTCCATTTTGATTTGGCATCCATCTGAAAAGCACAAATAATTCACTTGAAATATGTCATTAGGCTTATTCATCGATGTATATGAAAGCGGAAAGAAGTAGGCAGCGTAGTTGTTTTGCACAATTGTGACATTGAGAGTTATGTCCTTGGACCATTCACTAGCGATCCATCTACGTTGGATTTTTGATGAAGGACAACGATAGACGACTGAGAGTTAAATGAGATATTCTTATAATTATTTTTGACTTTATTATTTAAAAATAATGGTTGAGACTTCTATGAAATGAATGAAAGAAAGATTCATTCGCTAACATAAATAAATGTTCTATAATTTGAATTAGAGCTAATATTCGTTATCAAATATTATCTTATCACTTTATCACTTTCAGCCAATGAAATTATTTTAGACTAATTCGATTAAGTTATAAATCTTCCAGATGAATTTAACAAAGAACGGGATGGATAACCAATAAGTAATTAGACGAGCAACGATCCTCCGAGTCCACACTACGATTAATTAAATGTCAAGAAGAGAAAGAACTGAACTTTTTCGTTTTAAACCACTGATAAGATATGATATGCAGAGGAACGAATGTTCAATAATATTCATAAATAGCTGACGATAGCCGAGTGATTTATTGCTTCAACTGAGGACGACGCTGACTCTATGGCATTTAGTACTAAAAATACTAATAGTTGTTCACATTTCTTGCTATTCCTCGGATGACGAAACGTTTTAGAAGTCACCAAAGTCACCAAAAGTCACCAACCAAACTAGAAAGAAATTTTGATGAATACGATAAAATTCATTCGATTACTCTCTTTTTTTGCTTTTAAAAATTGGTACAAAAAATTGATATAAAAAATATTTCAAAAATGGAACAAACATCGAATAGAAATTGAATTCATATTGTTTGCTTTTATCAAAATACGTTAACGAAAAAAAAGAAAATTTTATTGCAAACGACCACCGAAAAAGACAATCAAAATAAACAAAGGGAGAGCGAAAATTGAATGAAATTTTTTGCATAATTTTTTATATAAAAAAGAATTACCTAAATTAAATTAGCTTTTAAGAATAAATAAAAAAGTAAATAAAAAAATATAAAAAATAAAAATAAATAAAAAATAAAAATAAATTTGCCATTAAAATATTTATTTAACTTTTTAAAATAAATAATTCAACGCATAATGGATGGTGAATAATGGTGAAAAGACGAATAAACGATATTAACGAAGGTAATTTCTTTCTAAGCAAAAATACGTCGAAAAGCTTAAAAATACTCAATTTAGCCAACTAAATAAATAGAAACTTTACGCTATATTCGATAAAGTAGGACTATTCAAAAAATAGATTTTCCTTCTCATTTTACACCGAATTTCTCACCGATGGAATTGAAGTTCAACGGAAGCGAACGAACAACTAGGCACCGTTTGTCCCTCTTTTCCTTGATCAGTCCGCAGAAGAACTTTCCCAGCGTATGGGCAGCCAATAGATCGAGCCAAATCCGTCGCAAATTCACCACTTAATTTACTAAAAAGAAAGATTTGCCCAAATCGAAATAATTTTAAAAAACTGCCAATGAATTGCCAATCCGTTCTGCTGCACCTATTTTTAATCATTTAATTTATTAAAACCGCAATAAACGATTTGAATAAAAATTGTCGTAAAAAAAAATTATTCTAATAAGATTGCTTGAAATTATTAAAATTATTAAAATCCATAAAGAATTTTCTATAAAAAGTTTTAGTAAAAAGGAAGAAAAAAATTTCATAATTCGAATTTTTTAGATTTAACCTTTATTCTTAATCTATGAATAGCAATCCTTTCGCCACACTGAGATACATTGAGGGTATGCTTTTCGCGTTTCACTTTTATTTTGCTTGGATGGGAGGGGTTGGGGGGGGGGGGGGGGGGGCTGAAACACACAAATCGCACCAACGTTCTTTCAATCATTTCTGAATGAACCATAAGTAGGATTTAGCTAAACTTGCTGGCAATTCTACAAGTTCTTGAGCTTTTAGCTTTCTTTTATCTAGAAATGCACCAGCCATTGCCTTCTTTTCCAGCACCCCAATCTTTTTTCTTCATCAAGGTTCCACTTAAAGTTTAAATTCCGAAGGCTGTTTCGTAATAATCACAAACACCCCCACCCATCCTCAACACCAACTCGCACAGCTGACACGAACAAACAAAACCTGACTTTTCTATTCAGATTGCCGCCTTTAAAAAAAACTGATTTCCATCAGCTGAAAACTGACTTCCATCTTCACAACCCTCCAAACACCGAACTTCAATTCACCATAAACGACACCTTCGGAATTTCAGACAGCACCACTTTAACCCCTAAGGAAACTAACAGAATTTTAAAAAAATATCCAGCTTCAAACCGGCCGATTAAACGATAAAAATAATTATGATGTGATGCCACCTGATGCTCTCTTTCTAATCATAAAAATGTTTCGAGAAATATTTTATATCTTATTTCCTCGATTCCATCGCCTTTCACATGCAACAGATGCAGTAAACACGGAAAAATTTTATTCAACGATATACAATTTTAATCTGCATGTATATTTGTATTTAAAAAATATGACTGAAAACAACAAAACCTTAAGACAACAAAAATTATTTGATAATAATCCATTTTGTTAAAATTGAGATTCATTCACTCATTTAAGCAAAGTATTTCTGTCCACTTCATTCATTTTATGCGCAAAAACTTATAAAACATAAGAGTAATTAATAAAGGAAGTAAGTACTTCCAAAATAAGACAAAAAATATATATAATGGATTACCACCGGTTGCTCGCCACGTTGCACGAAAAATATATGTAAAGAAATATTCCAATTTATTTCCTACATACTTTCCAGAGTTTTATTAACAAAACAAACTAAATTATTGAGGTGGTAGAACGGCAAAACGACAAATAGAGTAATTTCGAAAAAAACGAAAATGCACAATTTTAAACAAACTCAGCTCGCATCAATGAAGGGACTGTCAATCAGCTGCAACCGCTGCAGTCGAATCGATTTCATCATCCTAAAAAATATTGTCTTCACATGAGACAAAAAATGACTAGAAAAAGAATATTCGAGAGAAAACCAACTTCCTCGACTTCATGTTTCTTCTTCTTTAAATCTGGTGCATGAACATGATGGTCACCATCATTTCTGCCAGCATCCGAGCGTCTTTTACGAGTCTGAAATTTAGAAATAAAAGAAGTTTCCTTTTTTTAAGTTAATAGGCATTAATAATATAAGAACGCGACAACAGAAACGATTTAACCAATAAACCAATCCAAATGAAAAATGTATCTATATGTTAAATATAAATTATTGTACTATCCTTTCAACCTCGCTAAAAACTAGAAAATACTTATTTCTTACATTAATGAGAATGAAAAAAAGCGAGGAAATTACAAATTTATAATAAAATTACCTTGGCAGAATTGTCGTAATTTCCATTCTGTTCACTTTCACCACCATTCTCAACGGCATCATCACCCGATTCGTCATCATCATCATCGTCTTCATCATCATCATCTGCCTCTTTCTTTGCATTATCCTCATCATCATCAGATGCAGATGTTCCAGAATTCGTACGCGAACGACTAAAATCAAGTTTTCTCTCATTTTCATATATATTTCGCAAAAAAATTCAACCATAAAGTGACTTGTCGTAAATAAAACTGAAACTTATAAAATACCTGTGTTCACTTGAATGTTTCAGTTGTTCATCACCTCTTTCCTTCGAATGTCCTTCTTCATTTTCTTGATCATCTTTTTGTGCGGTTACCTACGATTTTAAGATAAAACAATGATGTTTCCTTAAAATAATTTGGAAGAAACAGATAAAAAATAAGAATATAAGAAAATAAGAATAAAATAAGAAAGTATATAAATGCACCTGCACTATTTCTCCATCTAATTCTTTTCCACTCATTTTATCGATTGCCGTCTTTACACTATCCGATGTGGCGAATCCAATTACACTTAAAATTAATATTTCGTTATTATCAATATAATTATCAATATCATTTGTTTATTAGCCGAACTCTGTTTTTTATATTAAAAATACGAATTTTTTAATCGTTTCTGCACATATTTTCATATAAATACATTAAGTGCAATAAATGCAAGAATCAGTTCGCTCCTCATTTCACCCCGTCATTTATTAGATGCACATCTATTTTCTCTTTTCTTTCTTCTCCCCTTATAGTTCTTATCCTTCCTTTTCTTTATTCCTACTCCTAAACTACCCTTTTCTCTTAATAAATGGCAGTTGCTATCCCCTAACTGCATTCACTTCACAGGAATATAACTCCGCCTTCCTCATTTTCAATCACTATTTTCGATTCTTACACAAATATTTCTAATTATCGGCCTCATCGCCATTACGCAAAAAAAGAATCCAAACCCAATGTTCAACCAAAATAGAAAAAATAGTAAATGAATAGTTAGAAGATAAATTAAATCAAATTAATACAAAACGATTTTAAAATAAATTTCCAAAATAAACAATAATAAATAACTTTCTATTTTCGATATATTCTTCATGAATTAAAAATAAAAAAATAGTTTTTAAAACCAAATGTTACGTAACTCAAATAAATCAACAAAGTATTAAAAAGGGATAAAAATATGAAAAATGAAATGAAAAAATGGAAAAATTAAAAAACAATTAAAATATAAACTAAAAAGAGAATTTTTTGAACATTGAAATTTTTCAAAAAAAATTTCCACTGAAAAACTTAAAAAATCAAAAAAAAATAAATTCATGTTAAACAACTGTGCAAATAACAAAAAATATGAAGCAAATTCACTAAAATTCAAAATTACCGAAATATTTTCATCGATGAGAATATTAACTAAAATGTTTGATTAAAAAAACTAATGAAGTAAATGGGCAACCTATATCTCTCCCTTTATTGCAATAACAATTAAAACATGCAACAAATACTTTAAATAAATAATCAAGATATACAATAATCAAGAAGGTGGAGAAATCATAAAACACAAACTATAACTGAGATAAAATTGGCTGGGAATGTGATACCGTTGAATTTAAAGGAGGGAGATGATAGATAGTTAAGTGATGGTTTAGATTATCGTGCTGATAATTCAGATCCTTTTAAAATAGCAGACAAAAATCCCCTATTTCTAGCGACCCATTTATATTTCAATCACTAAGTGATTTTTTCCAGCAAAAATTTCTTAAAAACTTAATTTAAAAACTAGAGTAGCCAGTATAATCAGAAACAATCGCTAATCGTTGCTTCACTAATTATTTACCATTTTTAACTTTTCAAAGAAGGAGATAATTTAAAATGCATCAGTACTGACGCGGAAAATAGCTTAAAAGGAGCTTATTGCTGGAGAAAATACAATCAACAAATTCAACGTAGGATAATTTGAAATGTACCGCAACAAACATGCAGGTCGACCCGAAATCCAAGGAGCAACACAAGGAAAAACCATCGTAAACACGCGAAGCGCGTTGGAAGAAACAACGAGCAAGTCAACTGTGCCACAAGCAGTCGTCTGACCAGCTTTTCATCATTTTCTCTCCTCTTCTCTTTCCTTCCCTTCTCCATGCTATTTTTAATATCTCGCCCCGCCCTCTTCGTCCCACCCATCACACGCACGCGTCACGGACCACTCCCTATAAAACGGTACGCGACACGATTTGCCGCCAAAAATAATGGGATAAAATGAATTTAATTTTGCGTTTTGGTGCTAGCCGAATCTAATTCAATCTTATAAAGAATATTAGGTTAATTTGCTAAAAATCATTCTCTATTATTACTTTCACAAAACGAACAATATCAAAGGTCATGAAAAATGTTAAAAAGTCGTTATAGGTCATTAACAAAGGAGAAGGGAGAACAACGAATAAAATTGGCGAATTAGAATTGACGAATTATGAAGAAATGAATAAATGAACAAAGAAGGATGAACAAATAGAAAAAAATTCCGCGAAAAACCAAAAGGGAAAAATGAATGAATGAAATGAAATAAAATTAGGACACTAAGATTTAGGAAGTACTTTGAAAAAAGAATCAAACAGTTCATGACCTACCCAACCCAATCTAACATATGAGAACTTATAATGGATGGCAAATAATCTATTTGATTGACTCCTATACTTTCATCATTTCCTATACGGCGATGTCAAAAGTCATACGAAACTAAAAACCAGTGTCAATGGTCAAGAAAAGCCTTCAATGACGAAAGTTAAAAACTGCACAACCAATTGCACGACACTCCAGCCGACCAGCCATCCAGCCACTTCTTACTTATATACTTAACTTGAAAACACTTTCTCTATTTTCTTTTTCTCCTCTAACCTCTTCCTTTCTTTTTTCGCCATCTCACCAATTCTCATCCCCAACGGAAAACTGCACTATTTTTATTCTCTCACCTCCCATAACTCTCTCCGACCAAAACATGCTCTCTCACATATTTCGTTCCTTCTCCAATATTCTATAATTAAATTTCCTACATCGATTTCTCAACCAAATCTATGATAATTCTACTGTCTTTTTATCTCTCCTTCTATTTCGCACATAAAAAAAAGTCAACGATTTCTTTCGTTTAGTAAAATTCAATAATAAATTCTGAGGGAACGACTAAAAAACCCTAATTTTTCCAAAAAATATCCCTTTTACTTCTAATAAAATTTTAATGACAAAAAACCAAATAAGCAAAAAAATTTTTCTTAAAAATTAGCAACAATTTCTTTGAAACATTTTTTTTAAAAATATGCGTTATAAATTATTTCATATAAAATAAAAAATAAAAAATTGGAAAAATACCGAAAATAAAAAGAAATTAATAAGAGAGATATTAATCTTTACAATGGACAAACATCAAATGCTAAATACGCATACATACGAACCGATGCTTCGGAGAAAAACGATAGAAACATTTATATTAGATATTAGAACTTATTAGAACTATTAAAAATATTAGAACTTAAGCAACGATATATCGATGGAAAGTAATAAGGTGGAAAAATAAAAAGTAACAGAATTAGAAATGCCTACTTTAGTAGTCAGTGGACGATTCAAAATCATCATAACGTGATAAGGCGCAGTCAAGTAGGCGAAAATAGTAAACTGTTCGCTTCTACCTAAAGCGAACGTAGTTCGGGAAATGGCTAGCTAGAGGGATGATGGGGCTAATCAATTAAGCGCGACTCGCTGAATCATATGAACATTGATAATTATTGACGAATTAGGCATCCTCAGGAAAATTTTAGCATTCCCTCTGCTGAAAAGACTTATAAAATTGTAAAATGCGCTCCTCAGCAAGATGGATTCGAGCAAGGACATCGCTTCAAATATAGGCAATTCACTACTACTGATTCTGTTTATTGATTTTGCTGCTGCTTTCGATCCAACTAGAACGACACTCCTCAGGATGATGGAACACGATGTTCCAAATATGATTCATATAGGAAGTTTACGTAGATTCTGAGCCGACGCTCAACAGCCATTCGGAGTATAGCAATAATAAATGTTGGATATGTTGATGACGCAATCGTTTTTGCTGACAATTTTGAAAAAATTCAAGAGATACTGACAATTATAGCATAAATCGAATATAAATCTTCGGTTTATATATCACACGCTGATAAATAATTTATTTTTATCAACTTATCACCGTTTAAGTGTGAAAACATTTTCAACATCTTGTAGATTCACTTTTATACCAAATGACCAAGTGAAACTACAGTAAAAGACACGCATCTAGAAATGCGGCTTTTTTACGCAACCTCACAAAATCCCCGCAGAATCGCCACGAAATTGCGAAATTATCACCGATAAAAGTTCATCTATCTAGTGGAAATACGCCCCATCTCATTATATAACTGAGAAAAAGGGTAATGCCAGTGGGATACCACCTATCAATGATACCAATGATATATTAAGATACCACCTATCGTTCATTTTCAGTACACATGCGATAAAATCTCGTATAATTGTCGCATATTCAGTTACTTACCAAATCTTAAGATCGATGAAACCAAAAGCAAGGGGAGTCTAATCAAGACTTAAAATGATACAGCCAGGAGAGATTTATTTTGAAAATATAGAAAGACCGGCGGCACATGGCTTCATAGGAAAAAGGAGTGGTCTCCTGATCTCAGGTATGGCGATTGAACGTCGTGGCCAATGCTAATTATTATTAATGATAAGAATTTTCAGAAGCTAATAAAACCACAAATCTTTGTTCAACGACACTCTTTAATTAATGAAAAATTTTAAAGATTAAAAAAATAGCTATATTTGCGTTTTAAAAAAAACAACAATTATAACAAACAAAGCAATACTGAAACGTGAAAATCAAATCTTTAATTTTTTTATTAAAAAAGGGTTTATCACTTTTCTCTAACCATATTGATGAACTATTGATCGGTAATAAAGCTTCAAAAAAAAAACGAAATATTTATAATTCAAAACTAAAAATTGAACAATGAAATCTGTTTCTCAAATAGAGTGTTTCAGTGATATCAATTTATCCGAACCTTGCATCATTTTAAAAAATTATAAAATTTTGCAAAGTTCATCATTTTACCACTAAATCGTTTTCTTTGCTGAGAACGAATATCACTTCTCCAGTAAATTATTGGATAAAACTTTAGGTAGGTCATGAGCATTCGTATTTTTGAAGGATAAATGTTTCCCTACCAATAGTAAAATTCTAGTAACAGTGATACGAAATGAGATTAACTGATTATTCTAATCTCTTTTGCTTTCGCTGTTCAGCAATACTGCTGCTCGACGAAGCATGGTGACTTCGGCCAGATTTGAAATGAAGCTATTTTCATTTAGCATATTGTTAAAAATCCACCGGCGCACTACTCAATTAGTTTATGCAATCAATCCTAACAAGATGATACATCACGAAACACTAAATATTTGACTTGTGAAGACTGCGATTATGACAAAATCACCAAAATAACGTAAAAAATAAGAATAAATAAAAAACTAAAAACTAACCAATGGTCATTGTCAATTTGAAGCGACACGATTTTGCCAAACTTTTTAAATGCTTTTCGCATATGCTGAAAAATTTTTTTGAAATTAGTATAATAAAGAGGAAATTTTATTAAAAAACATTTAAAATAAAAAAAACCAAAAAGATTGTCGAAGAAGAGACCTCTGCTGCAACAGAAGATTTATAGAGGAAAAGGGAAGAATGATTTCGCACACACGTGAAATATACGATTCAATCATTGGAAACGTGGCTTTTACAGAATACGGATCGCATTGGAAACGTGGAACGTGGCTTTTACAGAATACGGATCGGACTGCGTAACGTGTCACGTAACATATGTAACGAAGTATGACGTGATGCGAAAATGCGACTGATGCGTAACGTTATGAATGATAATCGTAATGAATCGATGATGAATGGAATCGATGGTGATGATGATGATGATGATGATGATGGTAATTCAGTTGTGAAAGTCTAAATTCCGATACCTTTTCATAGGCACATTGCTTTATATAATTTTTTCGCCTTATCAGCAGTTATTTTTTAAAATTTTTCTAAATACTGCGCGCGGAATATTTGCTAAAGCCCCATATATGAGGAAAAAAGACCAGTTTTCACACCACACACTGAATACTTTCCCATCTTCAATATTTTATTTGACGCATTACAACAACCAGCACCTTCTCTTCACCACTTCTTCACCAAAAATGAACGCCTAAATGGCGAAAAAAAATTGTAGTAACAACCTTTTCAATTTTGCTTGATGATTTGAACCCTGTAACAACTACATTATGTGTTTTCTCAAACATCTCTTCGTCTTGATCATCCTAAAATAATTTTCGTTATATTATGCAAAATGCAATCGAAGAGAAAATAGAAATCTCTGTTAACGAGTCATACGTATCTCTATTCACTATTAACTCTCTGTTAAATGGACCTCAAATCAGTATTTCGAAAGATATGACGAAACGATGAACTAGAAAAGATGTATTAAAAGAACAATAAGGCATGAACCATGTCAGAAGAACGATCTTTCTTTTTATCTCTTTTTTTTGAACTTTTGAATTTGCCTCTTCTTGAATCGGGACTTGACGATCGACTCGATTCACTTCCATCGCGTTTCTTTTTTGATTCAGATTTCAAATTCTTAGGACTAAGCGATCTGGATGCGGAACGTTTTCGATCAATATCGTCCGATTCGCTACTTGATGAATATTTGCTAAAAAGAAAGTTTTGTTTGCCTACATTAAATTTAGAAATCACATTGAAAATTTCCAATAAATTATGATCGTTTATAAACGATCTTTTGTTTGAAAATTAAACTTATAATAAAAAATTAAGAAGTTGAATGAACCGCTTTCTTTTAGATTCATGGCTTCTACTTCGACGCCTTGTCCTTCGATCACGACTGCGACTACGCCGTCTATCACGTGAACGTGAACGATATCGATAGCGTTCTCTTATCATTTCACGACGACGTGGTCGACTTTTTGCCATTTCAACAGTTACTCTAAACAATTACTCAATTAGAAATCGCAGTCGAATTAGAATTTCATAAAAATTAAAAACCACAAATCGCAGATCACAAGTGGGCCTTAATGAATAATGCATATCCTGATAAAATCTAGAAAGTTCTTTTCTATAACCCGCAATTATCTTTTTTTCGAACATCAAAAATTAGCAAAAAAAGAAAAATGTGTTTACCTTTCACCAAGAATTGTTCCACCGTTACGTTCATAAATTGCATCTTCAGCATCACGCGAATCGGCAAATTCAACAAAAGCATAACCATTTTTGAGTAAAATCTCTGTAATTCGTCCATAACCACGGAAAAATCGTTCAAGATCCTTTTCATATGCTCGTGGCGGCAAACGACCAACGTACACTCGTGTACCCATTTCTTCTCTTATTTTCTCCTTAATAAATTCATTAACGTTATCGATCCATTTCAGATTCATTAAATGAACGGAATAATGATTCACTGGCGGAATAATGGTCGAATATCATTACGCAGCCTCATCAAAAACCAAGAAAATTACAAGATGAGTATATTCAATCAATAATTTAAATAAACAAATGATTTCGACCTTTGTCCTTTGAATTCACCTGAGGAATCAAATGGATAAAAATCACATCGCTTTTTAAATGAACCAAATGAACCAAACCAATCAAATCAGTTCAACGAATGAAATCAACTTATTGGCTCATTCTCACCAAAACGAACCACAGAAACCAAACCGGACCAACATTTAATGACTAAACTAGAAAGAAACTGCAAACCACAGAAACGACCCAGAGAATCACAAGATGAGTATACGCAATCAATAACACACCGTAACCATACCGAAGAAATCGTTTTGAGAAATAGTAATGCGTATTATGCAGCCCAAAATTTTCAAGAGTTGGCTGATATGCTTGAGAAGAGCGCATAAAAAAATTTTGTGTTTATGTACGAAGAGAAAACCGAATAACTTTTTTTTAAAATCTGTTAAATTTCAAGAAAATTTCTCCTAATCCGCGTTAAATAACGTCACAATATTCTTTAATCCTTTTTAAAATTCCGTCCATTCCGTATTTGTCACCGAAATCCACAAATAACATCCTATGGATCTTGAAATCCGAGTAAAATTCCCCTTTTACATTCCCTAAAACCTCGCTATTTCTCTGCAAAATTCTATATGTTTGCAATCTCTAATGTTTGCCTTTATTTTAGGAAGAATAAAGGGTTTTCTTGAACTTATTGTCTTTTTGTCTTTTTTTTTGTAAATTCATTGCAGGTTGAGGAAGTGCCTGATTTCAAATACCTTGGGTCCACTCTATACCAAATGGCCAGACAAAAGACAATGTTAGACAATATTATAGACAATAATATTATAGCCCGGGTCACGGCAGCTAAAAATGTGTTCTTGCGGTTGATGAAACCGTTAAGGAGTTGTCGTGAAATCACCATAAAAACGAAAGTCTATTTAGTCGTGATTCATTCGATCTTATTATATGGCTTTGAGACATGGCCAGTGAGAGTGGAGGATATTAAGAAATTATCTGCTTTTGACCACTCTTGTCTAAGGTATATTTTACGGATCCGGATACGGATACGGAGCGGATAAGATATCACAAGATCGCATCCACTTTTGTTCAAATACCACTTGCATAAATAATATTATCACAGAAGGAACGCCTTCGCTGGTTAGGGCACGTCCTCCGTCTTCATCCCAGGAATTGATGCATATTTTGTTACTTGCTAAACCATGTGATGGATGGCGTCAAAAGCGAGATGGGCCAATCAAGACCTGGACTGATACGGTCAGAAAAGATTTTGAACGTATAGTTGGACCAGCAATATATGGACTTGGACGATGGAAAAAGAATGGCTTCTATTACTATCGACAATGGCGTCAGATTTCGCCGCTTGGAACCGTCTTACCCTTGTAGCCGTTTCAGGCAGCCTAACCACTAATGGTGAGAGCTGTTAAAATAAGAAGAACCTATCGTCTTGAATCTCAAATTACCTTACAGATCCCACTATACCTCCTTAATAATCCCGCTATACTTCCTTGAGACATACTTCTCTCTACCTCTCGAAACTTTTTTATGTGCTCTACCAAACCTCACTGTCTTCTTCTTCTAGCACCTCTCACCATTACTGATTAGGTTGGCTTTATTGGCTACAAGGATATGAAGCTGCGCAGTCTCATGCCATCGTCGACAGTAATGAAGCTATTTTTTTGCCATCGTCTAAGTCCATATATTGCTGGTCATCTATACGTTCAAAATGTTTTTTAACCGTATCAGTTCAGATTTTGATTGGTCCACCTTGCTTTTGACACCACCCATCATAGAGTTTGGCAAACAACAAAATTTATGTCAATCTTGTTAGGCGACGAAGAACTTGCCCTAACCAGCGAAGGCATCGTTGTGATGGTACTATTAATACAGTTTATATTTGAGCGAAAGCGGACTTATGAAATTCTGTCCGGGACTCCGCAAAATGTCTCCTAAACTTAAGTGGTTAAAGATTTCTTAACATCCTCCATTTTCATTGGCAATGTCTTGCAGCCATATAGCACAAGATCGAACAAATCGCGGCTATTTAGGCAAGGACCGTTTTTACTGGTTTTCGTGAAGCCTCCATAAAAATTTCGTCAACCGGAAGAATGCATTTCTAGATGCCGTTATCAGTATTGTAATTTCGTTTATTTGGCCATTCAATATTAGAGTGGATCCAAGATATTTGAAGTTGGGCACTTCCTCAACCTTCCTCAACCGTCAATGAGTTTATAAAAAGAGGCATTTTATCAATTTCTTGTATGGAAGACGACTTTCGTTTTATTTATATTCACCCTGAGCCTGATTCTCAGTGCAGTTGCGTTGTTTTGCATTGTTTACATTTCGTCATAACTGTCAGGCGAAAAGGACATCATCATCATATTCAATCTGTGATATGATGCTCTGGACTGATTTGGAAACCTCTTGACCAAACGTCGATGTACGTTTGCCAAACATCATTTCAACATTGCCATAAATTCTTCTCAGATAAAATCATAGTACCTTAACAAGCTTCTCAGAACCACATTATACTCCTATCACAATCCTCTTAATTCTTTTCAGTAGTACTCCTGTATTATAGAGCATTCTTGATACCAGATAGTAACACTTCCTTTTCTAAGCTTTTCATTTTTGGTTGCTAGGCTTGCAAGACCAGATAAATTTTGTCCAGGGAATCATTTGTTAATATTAGAATGATGTTTGTTTGGTGATGTTCGAGCGAAAATAGATGCAGTCATAGGAAATTCTCTCCTTTTAACGAGCATGTGAGATGTACTTTAGGCAACGATGGTCAAAAATAGGCTTCCTGATATCTTCAACTCTCACTGGCCATGTTTCACATAAGGTGGCGCGCATTGCAGCCACGTAAACTTCCCTTGGTGAGATGGTGAGTTCAGGTCAATCCCATAAAAATTTCGCCGGACGAAAGGAACAGATTTCTAGTTGCGGTTATTACGGTTGTTTGGGTTGCAATTTTATCTTTCACTTGGTTATTTAGTATAGGATTTAAGAAATATAAAATTTGGCATTTCCTTCTTCATTATCAGTAATAAAGACTACGTTATCAGTTATGACCCGAATTTAGTTTTACCATTTAAATGTGGATTCAAGATATTTTAAATTTCCTCAAACCATGATGAATTAATAAAAATAGATATTTTGTCAACGTCTAGAAGATTTTCGACTTATTTGCAAACGAGGCCCGATTCATTTATCTATGCCGTCAAACACCTTCTGCAGTTCTTTATAGCTATCAACAAGGTACTATATCGACAGTGTATGATACTAAGATCTATGATATTATCCTCTGGACTGAATTATATGCTTCTTGAGTTCTGGCAAGCGGTGATTTATAACCGATTCTTTGGCATAGTTAAATAAGGAAGAAATATAGTCCTGCCGTACACCAGTTTTTATTTCGTAAAGATACGTCAGTTTCATATAGAAATATACTTCATACATGCGGTAATATGTTTTATTTTATATGACTGGTAAGATACCTCGGTGATTCTGATAATCTTCTTTGGAAATGCATTCCGTTCCCCTTGTAAAGCGTTGTTGTATAAAATGAATCAAAAGCAGCGACAAAATCAACAACAAGTGATGTTAAGCTGCGGATATTTGAAGCAACAGTCCAGCATAGTTAGCATATGCTGCTGTCCCGAATTGCCATAAATCTATTTAGTAGAAGAGTAACTTGAAAATTTCCGGAGAAATAGGTTGGTTCGATCATCTTTATCATTGTACATATTATTACCTTTCTTATAGATTGAGAGCAAAATAGTTTTTTCTATATCCTCTTTTTACCAATTGAATGCTGCTCTACTGACGAGTTGTGGAGGATGCTGGGCAACATTTGGAGAGTTCAACCCGAAGACCATCTGAAAGTTTTATTTGCCTTAAGAATAGAAGAAATATTATTTCTTAGTCCTTGCATGCTTGGCCGTTTGCAATTATATGGCTAATATATTTCAGTGTTAGGTTTTTTGCCAACGATGTATTTATAAATATACTTTATTAGCGTTTGATTTATAAAGACGAAAGAATCCTTTTTATATTAAGCCGTGCATTTTGCGGTGCAATTTATTTGAAGCTGGTGTTAATTCGTTACAGCCATCGACAAAAAGGATTTCATCAGAACAAGGAGGATACATTGTTCGCTTATTCAAGATCCAAGAAATCATATGCCCCAGGCTTATTTGCACATTTCTCAAATGTCGCCAATTCAATGTGTCATAGCGGAAGGAACTTTGCGTACCTCTTTCAGAGTGTTTCTCATAAAATAACAAACTAATAAATATGTTTTAATGAGTCAGATAGTTTTTGTATTAAAGGTAATTCAGTAAAATGATGGGTTTCTGAATCGATGTTTCAACACCTTTCTTAGCTGATATATTCGTCTACGTCTTATTCCATCCTATCTACTTCTTAGCTTAAATTTAGTTTGGTGGAACTTGGTGAGGGAGCCACTGTCTTGGGTGAAGCGAAACATTCAGGAATATATCAGCAAGATGGCACTAAATGCTAAGATGCTGAGGGAGATGCTGAGAGGAAGACACATTCTTCGTATATTAAGGAAAGAAAGAAAGAGAGCATTTGTCTTTAAAAAAAGACTAGATAATATCATTTACGATATTATTTAAAAACAAAAAAAAAAGAGAAGAGTTTACACCAGGCAAGAACTGCAGAAAGTGAGAAATCTCGATTTTATCTTCAGGTTATATATGTTACTTCGAATTGTAGTATATTATATTATATTGATCTGTAATTTCCTCTTTAAATTGTTAATTTTTGTCATATTGTTTTATAATTAATTTTGTTTATGTTATATTTTTTTTTCTTTTTTTTTGTG